AGATGCATCTCGCCTCCGCGTCTGCCTCGACCAACGCCACGGAGCTAGACGACGAGCTCACCTCTATCCATGTTGAGCGATGGGTAAGACGTGAGTCGTACTAGTGGTTATGCCTGGACGCCGCTAGGCAGCGACGTCCTCACGCCGGCCGGAGCAGTACACCACAGGGGCACGCATTGGACGCTGTGGCGGTACGGTACTAGGCATGCAGCGACAAGAATGCTGGACCATTGCCTCGTGAGTTTCTTGACACAAGTATGCTTTTCGTCGATTGATTGGTGATCCGCGGGCTGCAAAATCATCGGTGGGAAATGGCAACACAAGAGTCGATGGCCGGTGGGAACTAGCCTAGCTAGTACTACCGGTAGGATCGGGCAACCTCTTTTTCTTTTCCTCAGCTTTGCATCGTCATTATTCAACATGAAGGCTAAATATTTCTCGTGGTTACATGAAACTTGAGAGTGTCCCTTGGGAACTCGCTACCAGTAGGAATCCGGCAGAATCTCATGTCCGCGCCCGCAACCTTGCAACTGAAATCTAGTCGACCTTTCTGGCTCCCAAAATGAGAAGCCATGAACTGAAGCATCCTTGACTCCTTGACGACGGCAAATCCTCCGTGTACACGCACCAGCTCTAGCTTCTAGTCAGCTCCTCTTTCCGCTCAGGAAGAAAAACAGGCGACCTTGGTGGTGCCGTGTGCGCCCCCGAATTCCCCTGATGGAGTTCGTTCCTTGTAAACAGGGTTTGCTTTACACGGTACTCAATGCCTGTTCGTTGGTTTGAGCTTCGTTCTGCTCTTGCCTTCCATCGTCCTCTTCGTTACTGCTCAACATATTGACACCTTGTTGCCAATCATCGTCCTCTTCAATTGCTGCCTCTTATGTTCATATTGGCACATTGTTTTCCTTCAGTTCCTGCCTCAAGATCAAGGAGTGAATGATCTTGTACAACCACCTCTGCATTAATATTCGTCATGCTCGCATCATGAACTGGAGATTGAGCAATATCATGGGTGCATTCATTGTCGAAGGTATCGCTGGCTGAAGTTTGCTCAGTGCACATTGGTTGGCGTTCGTGACTTCCATTTTGGAAGGATTCGTTGGGTGGGTGTTGTACCGGTGCAGCATCAGAGAAACTTGGATCATTTCCAGTGCTGGCTGCACAGTCTTCGTCAACAGCAGTAGCGCTGCTTTGTCCACCGTAGGCAGCTACAATGCCATTTTCTTCATCCACACGGCTTGTGGTTGGATCTAGATCCGTACATCTTAGACTGGCATCTGGAGGGGAGGCATCCACACCGCACCGTTCTCCATCATCATCATCACCGTCACTATCAGTGCTGCTGCCATCAGACAGCGTGTTTCGGAGAGATTGCAAGGATCGCATTTCATCAGTGACAAAGGATGCGCAAGATCTTTCATGAGCATCATCATCAGCAACTGCTGCTGCTGCTAATCGTCACGCATTTGCAAAAAGCTGAGTGAATTCTGAGATACCAACTCTTGAGAGGCGGGAACAGAATTGGAACATGTTTCAACTGTGAAGTTTCCACTGGTAAGAACATTGTCCTTCTTTTCAATCACCACAGATCCAGAAGAGGATGAAGACGATGACGAGGATGACATGTCATCCAACAGATCAAGCCTAGCAGAAGACAAGCTCGCAGCCCTTTGAATTCGTTTAACTCCACCACCAAGCACTTTGAGACTGACCCGAAAACTGGCTCTGGTGCTTCCCACAATCTTGTCAAAGGAGGTAAACCAACTCATTTCCCTCTCGCTATCCTCGTTGTCATCATCCTTAGCAAGAGTGTTGCAAGTCCAAAAGTTTCGCACAGTCTTCCAGATGTCTGGTTTCAAGAGACACACCAAAGCTGAAACAGCCCCTTGCAAATGTGACCAAGAGCCTCCTACCCATTCAACCCAGGGATCTAACCAGGCTCCTGTTACAAACAAAAGTAACAATCCAGGAAGCCACATGACAAAGGAACACAAATGCCAGCCGGAAGAAGTATATTGCCAGGATGCGTCTTCGTCCACTTGGTGGCAACATTTGGTCCTTGTAGATCTTATAAGCACTCCAGCACACATAGACCAGTGGTATTCCAAAGAGAAGGGGAAGAAAGACACAGTAGAAGAAGATGGTGGAAGCGGTACTGTAATCCATTGGTATGCAGGCACTGCCAATTGTGAGACGGGTCTTGTGGGGCCACCAATCCACAGGGATGAGTCCCCAGGATCCCAGGAAGCAGCTGTAGAGATAGATACAGGCAGCATGCTTACAAACTTGCATGGCGTTAGGTGGCTGATAGCGGACAAATCGTTGGGCACTGCTGAGCATGGTGTAGAGTTGGTAGGCTACCATAGCATTCAACCAGGAGTTGGCACAAATGGAGGAAATCATGTACCTACAGCAAGGTTGAAAATCTGTAAGAAAGTGCTTAACTAAACACGCAATTGCAACTCTTGAATCTCTCAATTCTTCTTACCAGCTTTGGAAGTAGCACATGAATTCAGATGTAAATCGACCTGCAAGAGCATTCGTCAAACAGGTGAAACCACAAGTCCAAGCTACGAGCATGTCAGGTGTCAGAAGAAAGATAAGATAGAGATTGAATGGATTCTTCTTGACCTTTTTGGATGCCATGAGAGGAATCCAAATGGCTGTGGTCAAGACGCCAGTGGCGAGCATGATGCTGGACCATCCAGCCCAAAACTTGATGAGGTCTTCATCGGATGGAGCTGCCACCAATCGATCATAGTGTGTAGAGTTTTCATTCAGGTCCCATTTCCGGATGGCAATCTCATTGAGAGGGAGGTTGGCCTGAACATTGGACGAAGACGACTCTGTCATTTTGGTTAGCTTGGTTGTGAAGAAATGAAAATGGGCTCCTCTCCGCTGCGCCTTGTGCTTTGGTTCTCGTGCATGTATTTTGCCTGTGATGACTGCCAGCCTGGCAAACTGTACTGTAATAGACGACAAGTGCGACCCATCAACAAGTGGCTGGTTTGGGCGGCAAAAATCACACCGCATAAAGTTCCTTCCGGGTATCCGAGTCATTCAGAGACCACCCGTAGTGGATTACTTCCCTGCTGCTCGAGTGGTATTAATTTCGCTCAATCGGCTCGGGGTGAGGCTTTATTGCGGCTTCATTTTAAGATCATACAGTAGTCTACGGATCGGGGGAAACCTAATTAGTCCAGTAGAACAAACGTGTGAGAGTCAGAGTCCTTATTCTTTTAGTTTTACGGTACCGTTACCGTGCCGGTAGGGGCTACATATACCGGTATAATACCTCAACAGTGGTCATTCAGCTTTCTTTAGCGACTGACTGGTCATCTTTCAGTTCGCGATGCCTTTCTTTTCATTTAATTCAAAAAGATCTGGTAATGCAACCAGTGATCAGCACGAGAACCGAGACAAGACGCTGGAGACACTCCTGGACACTGGACAAAAGCACAAGAACAAACAGCCGTGGCTAGTGCCTCAACCAGAATTGAATAAAAAGCCAAGGGGCTCGAGCAGTTAGCTAGTATTTGCTCCAATGCTATGAGTATTACAATATCTAACCATGTTCTTTTTTGTCGTTGTTGCCCTGTTTGTGGATTCCATGTCTGAGGTTTTGGCGGCAATCGAATGAAGGTTCATTCTACGAAGACTTGTAGTAATGAGCAGCTCGACTGGATTGGTCTGCCCAGTACTTAAACCAGCAAGCTTGCCGTTCAAGTTCATTGTAGAGTGGTGCCTCCCTTTTGCAAATGGCACATGTGATTTTCGTGATGCTTGGCTTGAGCATTACCACTGATAATACCGGTGTGTGTAATCAGCGACCTTTTTAGCACGTCCTTTACTCCATTTTTCCATTTCTTGAATCTTTTTTTCCCTTTGTTGTTCTATCTTATCCCAATTTGTACGGTGCTCTTTGCTCCATGCTGAAACCTGCTCACCCAGAAACTAATGTCTTCTGCTTCCAACATCTCATAGTAGTCATTTTAGCGTTGTATTTCAGCCTCGCGTTCGTCAGTTGCCTGTTCAGCACACTTGAAAGTTGCCATCTCAGTCTTTCAGATTCCTGCCTGATTCTGCCTGCCTTGATTCTTCTTCTTTCCATTCAAAGTATGCACCCATCCATTGCTTCCCACTGTTCCACTTCTCCAAAAGCTTGCTGTAGGAATAGATCATTCATTCGTATCTTCTTCATCCAGCTCGGATCTTTGTTCGTGAATCTATTTTCTACTTTTTCCAGCCTCATTTTATGTTCCTCTCTTTGCGTTCTCAAAAATGTATATCTGGGACCACTCTCTCCTGTTTCCTGTCTCGGTCCTTTCTTTTCCGATTCTCTGATTGTTGCTTTTTTCCTCCTTACGACTTCTTGCACTTTCCCTTTTTCGGGTTTCGGCTTCCCTTCTTAGTCTTTCTCCTCTTCTGTCATTCCAAGCCCGATGGAGACGCATCTTTCTCGTTGGCTTCTAAATTCTGCCAAGTTCCTGCTCGGTTGTTTCTAGTTGGCTAATTCCATCTGTTGTATATGCGTATTTGCTCAAGTTTCCTATTGGTAAGCAGGTGTTCCACGTTTGACAGGCATTTGAAGCAGCGAGTTCCAAGACTATTATTTATGGACGATGGATGGGATTTGGGCATGAACCCCCAGGGTGGCTTGCCACGGCTGTCTTGGTCTTCTGGTTGTGGAGGGGCTGGGTTCTATCATGGGGCATCTGCACGGACATAAAATGGGAGCTGCAAGGACGGAAATCACAGACAAATAGTTCAAAGGCCCTCAGCTTGCTAGCTGGTAGTTGAGGGCAAACTACTACAGAAGCTGCCACAATGCATCTACTGTATATAACGTTGACCACCATCGACGTCAATTCAAGCAGTGATCAATCACTTTTTCTCTTGACTGTTTTTGCACAAACACACATCTGATTCGCCTGACCACCCAGCAGCTGATTGAAGACTTGCCAACCGAAATCGAAAAAGCATCGACTCGCATTGCATCCCACGTTCTAACTCCATTTGAGCGCCGTTCTGGGTGGAGAATGCCTTTTCTAAATTGGAAAGTGAGCAATAAGTAACGGATCCTCAAGGCCGCGTGATTTAACAAGAATTACTATCGTTGCCGTCCACTGGTACTGGTACGCGTTCTTAATATTACGGGCAACCATGCCCAAGGTTTTGCACGAGCCGTGGGAATCTTGGAGCAGAGGGGTAGCAGTGACTAGTGTAGCATGAGAGGTATCATTTACATGCCGGAAACGGCACAACCGGCCAAAATCAACGCGGTTCGACAATGCTACCCTCACATAAAACTAGAGTTTTATGGTCAAGATTGTTCGATACCGAAGAAAATGCCCTCAAAATGGCTCAGGAACACAATAATTACATTTACGTTCCACCCTACAATGACGTGCATGTTATTGCTGGACAGGTGACCGTCGGTTTGGAGATTCTGGAACAATCATCACGACAAGCTGCAATGATCGACGTGGCTTTTGTCTGCATTGGAGGAGGTGGACTCATTAGTGGAGTAGCCGCCTACTTGAAGGCAAAACGTCCCGGAGTCAAATTTAGGGATGTCAACTCGAGGGTCCCTGTCCTCATGTTCAAAGGGTAAGATGGTGATTTTGACATCTCACAACCACTTGTCGGGACGGATCGCGGGAGGGATCGAAGCCGGATCTGTCACATTTAGTCCCACAATTTCAAGTCCCGTTAGATGACTACGTCCGTACATGTATTCGCGAAGAGATATTGTCCGCGGGCTGATGATGATGGTCGACAGTCATAAATTATAGAAGGCGGCCGGAAGTGGCGTAGGCTGGCCTTTCAAAGAGTATCGCGGCAAAGCCGGTCAGCGAGTACAGGGGATACAATGTGAGCATTTCTTTTGATCCAACAGTAGGACGGATGCTCTCACAACATATTCTTGACGACGAACCAGCAAAAGGAGAAGAATCATGAGCGTGTGTCGACAAAACGCAAGAGACATCGGGCCGCGTGCGGCTGAAGAAACGAGTCAAATCCCATGAGCAAGTCATTTCTTCTTTTGACCATGACAAAGAGCGTCCTGCTAGCAAGTGAAGATGTTGTCAAAGCCATCCGCTCGGAATATGTATTGTCACCGAGTCGAGTTCTTTTCTTCCCCCTGTTCTTCCCGTTTCAAGGGGCGCAATTTTTTCAACAGACTGTGCTCCACCAGAGCTAGGTCTAAGCAGAGGAAACGAACTGGGGGACTGCTAAATCGTTATTGTCTTTCAATGATTGAGATTATTGTTTCTAATGATATTGTTATGATACTGTTGATTTTCTCGATGGCACCATGTACTTGGAGTACGATGTAACAGAGCGGGTCTTCTTTATTGCAATCACTCACGCTTCCTTCCATGGCTGCATCATCAGTTTATTCGTTCGTGAAAACACAAGGCACCGTCGATTGAGAATGCATCGAACCTACCACCCCATACCTTGAAAATGTCTCACAAGGATCAAGGTTATCTTTGCCCTTTGATCTTTTCTATAATTCAGTTTTGGAACAATGAGAAAGGACTGTTCTCAGACCAATGCGCTTCTTCTTGCGTGTGTCAAAGTGCCTGAAGGCCCTCTTGAGTCGATCATCTGTAAGCAGGTCCTTCTCACTCATGCTGGCTCTAGCAAATATTATAGTCCACCTCTTGATTTCAAGTCACATCTCATAAAAATGTCTGCGCAGCTTTCTCAGCCGCGGGGTGATTAGGCCAGTTCGACCTCTCTGATTTCAGAGGGTTCGTAACCTGCCTTTGGTGCAAGATATCCAGGCTGGTTGAAAGGTAGGTCTAATCTGGCGCGCCTGTTGGTGAGCATGTCCGACACCATGAGAGACAAAACAGCTTGCTTGAGCTGAGAGTTGGGGTTGTACTTGCGAAGGTTTGACAGCCGGATCATGTTGTCCAGCTTGGCCATGGGGTCTGCCGGTGCATCCATATCCCCAGCAGAAGCCCGTCTTGCACGATTGTGATGATCTTTCTTGCTGTCACTTTCTCTCTTGCCATGATCTCGACGAAACCACTTGTGGCGGAGCACTTTGGAAGCAGTAGAACGCCTTTTACGGTGCGGGTCTGCCTTGTGATCCTGTTCAGGCTCTGTAACCGATTCCGGAACTTGATTGGAGGTGCCAGCGTCACTTTCCCCATCTTCGTCCATGCTGGCATCGTCTCGTCGAAACCACCGATGGCAAATGACTTTTGCTGCAGAAGGGCGCTTTTTGCTCTTGGGATGCAGCAGAGAGTGAATCAAAGACTTGACTTCATCGGAGACATGGGTATCCCGGGGGAAGCGAAGCTTGCTGCTCTTCTCTCTCTTGACAATGTCCTTCTCAGTCTTCTTGGTGCTTTTTGGAAACTTGTCTTGATCCTCTTCAATGCCTTTCTTGATTTTGCGGCCGCTTTCGACAAAGGGCAGCCGGCCAAAGAGCATCTGATACATGATGACACCAACAAGACCAGCAACATGTCTGCCTTGTGTCAATAATTTGGGTTAGAAGAAATTCACTGGGTCTGGACTACCGGAGCTTGATAGACAATGTCCCTTCCAGTGCCACCACCACAATGTCCTCGAACCTTGTCATCCTTGTCTTTGAGTACTGCAGGTACAAGGGACAAGCTGGCGCATCACAGTTCAGAGTCGCAGTTCGAGTATGTTAATACACGTTACATGTAAAGGAGCCAAAAACAAAGCAGGGCCACGTGCATATGCGATAGAAATCGAGAGGAAGTGCGGCACAAGTCTATAAGGCGTCGCCGATATGGAACCGGGTACAAGAGAGGCGACATGTCAAGCGAGGAAGACTCACGCTTTGAATCGAAACAATTCCCAATGGCAGGATAAATAGTTGCCCGGACCCAAATTAAATTTTGTGCGGTCGTTATGCGAGCGTATGTAGAACCTTTCATCACCAGGAGCTCTCTCACACCAAAGGATCTACACATTCAGAGGTGCCTTTAAGTTTTGACGTATCCGTCACTCAGATCTCTGTAGCTCAGGTGAGCAAATCTCTTCCTCATACATATCAACTATACCAACGTGGGTAGATCACGCACTTGGCTACCAACACATCACGTGTTGTCAAGGTCACGGACGTATCAACTACCAAATAAGACAAGGTCACACTATGTTTTCTTGGAAATAAAGATGCAGCATATTGAAAATTGAGCGGAAGTAAAATTTGACCATGCGCTTTCTTGCTATTCACCAAGGATTTCCTTATGACTATGTCTCACAAAGTCAGCTTGCCGTACTTCATCTTGCTATGCGTATGTATTCGCTCCTATGGAACACGATTGAACAACACCATTGAGTGTGTTGGTAAGCGGCAAGTCACTTGCTAAAGGAGAAGAGATTGAGCTAAAAGGCAACATCTGCATCACCTCGAAGAGTGAGCTAGTCGAATCTAACCCACACACGTAAATGTTGCCTACCTTGAAAAGAATCCGAAGGTAATAGTTAATGTGTGCGAAGACTATTTACGTTTCCTCGAGAGACTCTAACTAAAAGTCTGCACTTGCGCTACTGCGAGTTGGTCCATGGTGGCCACATTACTGATCGCGCATACAACCAGTTCTGCACGATGGGTCGATGACGGCACAAACCAAGCGCATCTTGGGTACTTTTGCAGTCACTCGCATGAGACTACAACCGTATGAGACGCGAACGACATATTGTTTCGAGAGCACTATGCCTGGCGTCTTTGGTTGGTCGAGCTAGGCATCGCTAGGGAACACGTGCGCGGCCACTTTCTAGCGCCTTCTAGTAAATGATATTCTTTCTTGAGAGGTGACAGCACCAAGTGCGAGAGCACCATGTCAGCACGAGCGTCTGGTTCCTCGTGTTGCTTCGCCATCATTGGAGTGGTTCAAACTGGCTTACGATTTGCGCCTCTGCTTCAGCTCACACTCTTTCTGCTCTGACACGCAGAGCTGGTCACACGCAAACCGTGCAGAGCAGAGGCATTGAAGAAGGAGTCGCATAGCGTGACAATAATGTTCCAGAGAGGAAACGCACACAACTAGACACACCGAGGATGGGGCAAAGAGGACATGTTGTCGAAGAGTATGACGAGGAGCAGACATCAGCAATTCCGCGTGAGTCCCCCTCGGGAATGAGACCCACGCATGAGCGCATACGCGGAAATGAGTCCATAACTCTCAATCACACATGAGCGATTCACGCGCACGACTGCGAATGCAAAATCCACGAAAGAGACGAAAAATTAGCGCCCTGTCTCGTGCAGTCCAGAGACGTTCATCTTCACTTCCGTGGGTAGTTTCGCGACTCAGCTTAGACGATGCCAGCATGGACGAAGATGGGGAAAGTGACGCTGGCACCCATTGGTTGCATCATTAGTACTGAGTCTGTTTCCCGAGCTGAGCAGCCACTCACGGTCTCTACACGCACGCGCCTGCAGAGGCTACCTACATCCACAAAACCATGACGCCGCACCGTAAAAGGCCACAGCGAGGATATCTCGCTTGACAGCGTCAAACAGACTCGCGTCCGCTACCAACAAGTGAGATAGCGGAACAAGATTACGCGAATCGATGACCATTGCGCGAGCCAAGAGAGAACAGAGTATAGAAGGCGAGCACAAAAAGGACCAGCCTCTCAGTCCACAAGTCGATAGAAGACATCACAAACACGGAGGGCCGGCGGGGGCGATAATGGATGTCACCAGAGGACAGTAGGCACCAGGGCCCATAGAGAGCAACGACTTGACAAAAAAACATCGATCCACTCCGGCCTGCTTCAAACCCTTCGTCAATCGCCAAATCAGGCAATGAGTGCCAATACGCACAACTCTTCTGCTGAATGGAAAGGCTGAAGAACTTTGTCAATCCTATCATGGTGTCGGTACTCTTACGGAAGAGCTATTCCATCAGATCTGCACGCTGATACTACTAAACCACGAGGGAGGAGTTCTGCGTGTAAAATATGCACCGCTGCCTCGAGCATGCACACCCATATCGCGCTTATCTTCACCACTGATATCATCATCACACGTAAGTTGGTGTCACAGGTTCTAGCACGCCGGGCAGAATACTAAACAAGCAAAGATTCTCTTGAGCGTCTGTGGACATTATGAGTACAATCCCCGGCAGGGAGACTGGGCATGAATGAAGAGCGACGCAGACACTCTCTTTTGTGTTGCACGCGATGTAAGGAGTGTATTTCATAGAGAGCGCATGCTACCAATTGTGGCGAAGCTAATGCACCGAGAGTCTATCTCACTCGATTTGTGGCCAGACAGTGAGAGTGTGAGAACCGACTGCATATACAGAGCCTAGTGACGAGAGAGACATCATAAAGGAGCGAGCCCCTTTGCAAGAGTCATGCTATGGTGGAGCAACCTAGGACAAGCAACACAGAAGAGCGCAAAGTTCTGAGAGGTACCTACAGAATCTTGAGTCAGGCTCTCTTGTGCACAGACCACTTTATCTCTAATGTTCGTTTATACCAAACTTGTACATCAAGACACTGAGCACCTTCTGTTGCAGTCATTCTGAGTCGGGGAGAATTATGCACGTATTCAAGGGCGCAACAGGCAAACATCCACTGCCTTGGTAGATGATGATTTAGAGACGCTTTCTTAAATCTGCGAGTTGACATTGGGCACAAGCGTGAGTGCCGTATGGGTTTGTTCAGACTATCACAAGACAACGGGATGTACGACCATCGTGTGTTTCTTGAGGACACAAAGCGATGATAGGAGAGAGAGCTCGGCGACTCTGATGGAGAGCCAGAGCGAAATGTTATGAGATCGTTGCAGTGAGTCTTTGCACAATGAAGGAAGTCAGACACGCCTAATCTTCGCGTTTATGTACCGCATGGTGGAGCATACCAACGCAAGTCAGCACAGTGGTGCGATCCGATGTGGTCGCATACAGATACTATATTTTCGCGAACACTAAGCTCACTTTCTGAGGCTCTGAGAAACACGTGCCTCATTCTTGTATGCTGTAAAAGATAAACAAGCAGAGCTCGCCTTACAATTCATATAGGAAGAGCGACAATTATGAAGACGAGCAAATGAGACAGCACCGCCATTCTGTTCGTCCAAAAAGTCTGAGCCCTAAAGAAGAACCTGAGGATTGAATGCGAGGATGTGGCAATGCACTAGGAACAGAAGAAACGCAGCAGAAGCGACAGCTCGCGGTCGAGCATTCAATCACCACACCGGTGTACTTCAGCGATGGTAGCTTCCGCACACTAGATCTCCGGAATGAACGCTTCTCAACTAGCGATCAGTTCAGGAACTCTGTCTATCTTGCGCGTCTCTGCCAGGATCACACGCACAGCGCGTAGGCCAATAAGAGAGACAGCAACCACTCCTGCCGCGAGCTCGCAGCAGAGAGAGTCGATACTCGTTGGCTCATCACCGCGACGTGGCGCCGATTCGTATCGCAGGATCGATGTGTCCGACACACGCCATCATAGACGTCTATACGCACTTGTGTAAAGCGCGCTGGACGGTTCGTTCGCACAGGATTTCCAAGTCATGTTCGCGCCGAGGAAGTGTCCGTTACAGATGCCTGAACCAGCACGGGATCAAACAAGTAGATCCGGCACTCACACGAGAGTGAAAATAGAGCGCACGCTGATTCTTACTTCCACTCGTACTGCAGTCGGCTTTGCCTGGGATACTCTTATTGATCACAGAGACGCGTGCCGAGCATCGCCAGTAGCCACAATGGCTCTGCCGCGCCGCGCCACACATATCTATTGAGAGTCTTAAGATGAAACTATAGTGATCTTCGAACGCGCGACTAAGAACCGCTATCCATAATCGTCTACCTCAAGTGCGCGACACTATAACTTGTTGTTTGTTCTTTTCTTTGTCTTCGCTGGTCGCCGAGTAATATGCGCACTAGGACATAGTCATGCTCAGGCAGGAAGGTCTTGAACACCTCTCGAGTTGGCGCAGCTGTGATCACATCAGAGATCTCTGCGCCGGACTGCGTGCGAGAACTCCCTCGCGAACTGATCTAGCGGACAAGAACGTGCGAAGCTCTTCTATGGCGCAATTGCATACGCCGTAATTAGTTCATCTACTCGGAATTCTCGGACCCATTGCCCTCAATTTTGAACACTAGAGAAGAGAGCGTTAGAGCTTTCGGGCCGAGAGAACGTCGCAGGTCGAACACCACAATCTTGACTCCGGGACGTTTTGCCTTCAAGTAGGCGGCTACTCCACTAATGAGTCCACCTCCTCCAATGCAGACAAAAGCCACGTCGATCATTGCAGCTTGTCGTGATGATTGTTCCAGAATCTCCAAACCGACGGTCACCTGTCCAGCAATAACATGCACGTCATTGTAGGGTGGAACGTAAATGTAATTATTGTGTTCCTGAGCCATTTTGAGGGCATTTTCTTCGGTATCCGAACAATCTTGACCCCGAGCTGGAGAAACTTGATAAAGTTTCTGGCAGTATCTCATTTAGTTTGTGTATGAGGCACATTGTGGATCGATACTCGAAGGTCAAAGAGTATTGTGTTCGGTCGGCCTTGGATCTTAATTGGAGGACGGTTTTCCGTTGGCACTGTATATGGCCAGCATGGGAATATGACGAAGGATAGCCTTACTATGTACCAACGTGCTACCGGGGGGGCCCCCTCCCCTGCCTCCACACGACCTCCCACCGCGCGCTCGCTCGCCACACCTCTCGCGGCCCATCGGCGTCTCCGCCGCGCTACTCGCGCCCGCGCACTGCCTCACGAGGTCGTGTAGCCGCCGCTACCACCTCGGACGGCACCACGCCCATCACGTACCTCCTCTCGTCCTCAATCTGACTTCCGCGCCCTTGCAAGCGATCCCGCTCCTTACCTCTCTGCCTCACTCTCTCCCACACCCCTTCTCCTGAGAACCCACCCTTTTTTTTTTTTTTTTTTTTTGTGACGCGGCAGGGTTCCTCCTCCACCCAGATACGGCGACTCCAAAAGTGGAGTTTGAAGAACGTGGGATGCAATGCGAGTCGATGCTTTTTCGATTTCGGTTGGCAAGTCTTCAATCAGCTGCTGGGTGGTCAGGGAGGCGAATCCAGAAGTCATGATGAGTGTTTGTTGGGCAAAAACAGTCAAGAGAAAAAGTAGATTGATCATGCCTTGATTTGACTCGATGGGGTGGTTCTACCGATAACAGGTGAGATGCCATGTAGTGGTACAAGCATATCAATGAGTAAAGTAGGTAAATATGCACACTCAACTACCAAGCTTGCAAGCATTAGAAGGAGGACACTATATTGAGAAACATAATTATAAGTAATGAGATATTCACAGATAACAATTAAAGCACGCCTCCCATTCCTCCACCTGCGTCCCCGTCCCCCGCCACCCGATCGCCCCCCATCCCACTCGCAGACACCCACAAGAGCCCCTCCACAACCAGAGAGCGAGGGCCAAGCACAGAACACAGTAGGCAAAGCCACAACAGAAAAATTTTTGGAAGGGGGTGAGGCACGGGGGGAATCGACTCAAGAGGGCCTTCAGGCACTTTGACACACGCAAGAAGAAGCGCATTGGTCGTGCAGAACTGCAGGCCTTGCCAGCCTTTTCTCATTGTTCCAATGACCAACTGAATTTCATTATTGCGGAAATAGATTCAAAGGGCAAAGGATACCTTGATTTTGACGCTTTTGTCAAGGGTATGCGGAGTGGTGGTTTGTTCTAATCCGACGGTGCCTCTTGTGTTTGCACGAACTGGAATAAAAGCTGACTGATGGCAGCCATGGAAGGAAGCGTGAGTGATTGCAATTAAAGAAGACCCGGCATCTGTTTATTCAGTGTCATGGGTATCACTCCCAAGTACATGGTGCCATCGATCGCAAAGATCATTTGCAACAAGTATCAGTAACAAGTATCATTAGGAAACAATAATCTTCAATCATTGGAAAGACAATAACGATTTAGCAGTCCCCCAGTCGTTCTCTTGCTAGACTAGCTTGTGCCGTTGTGAATGCCTTGAACGGAGACAGGAAGGACTCGACTCGGTTGACAATACATATTCTCGAGCGGATGGTCTTTGACCAACGATCTTCACTGCTAGCAGGACGCTCTTTGTCATGGTCCAAAGCTAGCAATGAAAATTTTTTTTTTTTTTTTCTGAAACCGTTGCTCATGGGATTTGACTCGTTTCTTCAGCCGCACGCGGCCCGATGTCTCTTGCGTTTTGTCGACACACGCTCATGATTCTTCTCCTTTTGCTGGTGTCGTCGTCAAGATTGTTGTGAGAGCCTCCGTTCCAATGTTGGATCCACAAAGGACAATGGCCACATTCTTCCCCTCGTACTCGTGCGGCTTTGCCTGGATACTCTTTTGAAAGGCCGCCAACGCCACTCCGGCCGCCCCTTCTATAATTTTATGATGCTTGTCGACCATCCATCGAATCGCCGCGGCAATTTCCTCTTCCGATACCAGGACGTAGTCATCTACGAGGTCTTGAAATTGTGGGAAATGTGACAGATCCGGATTCGATCCCTCCCGCTGATCCGTCCGACAGAGTTGGTTGTGGATTGTCCAAATACACCAATTCTCCCTTTTGAACACTGAGGTACATTTCGGGCGACCGCTCCGGTTGACATCCCACAATCTTGACTCCGGGACGTTTTGCCTTCAAGTAGGCGGCTACTCCACTAATGAGTCCACCTCCTCCAATGCAGACAAAAGCCACGTCGATCATTGCAGCTTGTCGTGATGATTGTTCCAGAATCTCCAAACCGACGGTCCCCTGTCCAGCAATAACATGCACGTCATTGTAGGGTGGAACGTAAATGTAATTATTGTGTTCCTGAGCCATTTTGAGGGCATTTTCTTCGGTATCCGAACAATCTTGACCATAAAACTCTAGTTTTATGTGAGGGTAGCATTGTCGAACCGCGTTGATTTTGGCCGGTTGTGCCGTTTCCGGCATGTAAATGATACCCCTCATGCTACTAGTACCACTGCTACCCCTCTGCTCCAAGATTCCCACGGCTCGTGCAAAACCTTGGGCATGGTTGCCCGTACTGGATGTCACGAGCGTCGTTGTACCGGTACCAGTGGACGGCAACGATAGTATCTTGTTCAATGATCCGCGGGCCTTGAAGGATCCCGTTACTTGCTCACTTTCCAATTTGAGAAAGACGCGGCAGGTTCCTCCACCCAGATACGGCGACTCCAAAAGTGGAGTTTGAAGAACGTGGGATGCAATGCGAGTCGATGCTTTTTCGATTTCGGTTGGCAAGTCTTCAATCAGCTGCTGGGTGGTCAGGGAGGCGAATCCAGAAGTCATGATGAGTGTTTGTTGGGCAAAAACAGTCAAGAGAAAAAGTAGATTGATCATGCCTTGATTGACTCGATGGGTGGTCTACCGATAACAGTAGATGCATGTGTGGCAGCCTTCTTCTAGTAGTTAGGTTTGCCCTCAACTACCAGCTAGCAAGCTGAGGGCCCTTTGAACTATTTGTTGTGATTTCCGTCCTTGCAGCTCCCATTTTATGTCCGTGCAGATGCCCCATGATGAGAACCCAGCCCCTCCACAACCAGAACACCAGCAGCCGTGGCAGCCACCCTGGGGGTTCATGCCCAAATCCCATCCATCGTCCATCAATACATAGTCTTGGAACTGCTGCTTTCAACATGCCTGTCAAACGTGGAACACCTGCTTACCATAGGAAACTTGAGGCCAATCGCATATACACACAGGAGTTAGCAACAGAAACAACCGAGCAGGAACTTGCAGATTTAGAAGCCCAACGAGAAAGAATGCGTCTCCATCGGGCTGGATTGACAGAAGAGGAGAAAGACCTAAGAAGGGAAGCCGACCGAAAAAGGAAGTGCAAGAGTCGTAAGGAGGAAACAAAGCAACAATCAGAGAATCGGAAAAGGAAGGACCGAGACAGGAAACGGAGAGAGTGGTCCCAGATATACTTTTTGAGAACGCAAAGAGAGGATCATAAAATGAGGCTGGAAAAAGTAGAAAATAGATTCATCGAACAAAGATCCGAGCTGGAGAAGAAGATACGAATGAATGATCTATTCCTACAGCCACCTTTTGGAGAAGTGGCACAGTGGGAAGCAATGGATGGGTGCAACTTTGAATGGAAAGAAGAAGAATCAATGCAGGCAGAAATCAGGCAGGAATCTGACAGACTGAGATGGCAACTTATCAAGTGTGCTGAACAGGCAACTGACGAACGCGAGGCTGAAATACAACGCTACAATGACTACTATGAGATGTTGGAAGCAGAAGACATTAGTTTCTGGCGTGAGCAGGTTTCAGCATGGAGCAAAGAGCACCGTCCAAATTGGGATAAGATAGAACAACAAAGGGAAAAAAAGATTCAAGAAATGGAAAAATGGAGTAAAGGACGTGCTAAAAAGGTCGCTGATTACACACACCGGTATTATCAGTGGAATGCTCAAGCCAAGCATCACGAAAATCACATGTGCCATTTGCAAAAGGGAGCACCACTCTACAATGAACTTGAACGGCAAGCTGGCTGGTTTAAGTACTGGGCAGACCAATCCAGTCGAGCTGCTCATTACTACAAGTCTTCGGAGAATGAACCTTCATTCGAGTTGCCGCCAAAACCTCAGACATGGAATCCACAACAGGGCAACAACGACAACAAAGAACATGGTTAGATATTGTAATCACTCATAGCATTGGAGCAAATACTAGCTAACTGCTCGAGCCCCTTGGCTTTTTATTCAATTCTGGTTGAGGGCACTAGCCCACGGCTGTTTGTTCTTGTGCTTTTGTCCAGTGTCCAGGAGTGTCTCCAGCGTCTTGTCTCGGCTCTCGTGCTGATCACTGGTTGCATTACCAGATCTTTTTGAATTAAATGAAAAGAAAGGCATCGCGAACTGAAAGATGACCAGTCAGTCGCTAAAGAAAGCTGAATGACCACTGTTGAGGTATTATACCGGTATATGTAGCCCCTACCGGCACGGTAACGGTACCGTAAAACTAAAAGAATAAGGACTCTGACTCTCACACGTTTGTCTACTGGACTATTAGGTTTCTCCGATCCGTAGACTACTGTAGTGATCTAAAATGAAGCCGCATAAAGCCTCACCCCGGAGCCGATGAGCGAAATAATACCACTCGAGCAGCAGGGGAAGTAAGTCACTACGGGTGGTCTCTGATGACTCGGATCCCGGAAGGAACTTATTATGCGGTGCTGATTTTGCCGCCCAGAACCAGCCACTGTTGATGGGTCGCACGTTGTCGTCATTACAGTACAGTTTGCCAGGCTGGCAGTCATCACAGGCAAAATACATGCACGAGAACCAAAGCACAAGGCGCAGCGGAGAGGAGCCCATTTTCATTTCTTCACAACCAAGCTAACCAAAATGACAGAGTCGTCTTCGTCCAATGTTCAGGCCAACCTCCCTCTCAATGAGATTGCCATCCGGAAATGGGACCTGAATGAAAACTCTACACACTATGATCGATTGGTGGCAGCTCCATCCGATGAAGACCTCATCAAGTTTTGGGCTGGATGGTCCAGCATCATGCTCGCCACTGGCGTCTTGACCACGGCCATTTGGATTCCTCTCATGGCATCCAAAAAGGTCAAGAAGAATCCATTCAATCTCTATCTGATCTTTCTCCTGACACCTGACATGCTGGTAGCTTGGACTTGTGGTTTCACCTGTTTGACGAATGCTCTTGCAGGTCGATTTACATCTGAATTCATGTGCTACTTCCAAAGCTGGTAAGAAGAATTGAGAGATTCAAGAGTTGCAATTGCGTGTTTAGTTAGGCACTTTCTTACATCAACCTTGCTGTAGGTACATGATTTCCTCCATTTGTGCCAACTCCTGGTTAAATGCTATGGTAGCCTACCAACTCTACACCATGCTCAGCAGTGCCCAACGATTTGTCCGCTATCAGCCACCTAACGCCATACAAGTTTGTAAGCATGCTGCATGTATCTATCTCTACAGCTGCTTCCTGGGATCCTGGGGACTCATCCCTGTGGATTGGTGGCCCCACAAGACCCGTCTCACAATTGGCAGTGCCTGCATACCAATGGATTACAGTACCGCTTCCACCATCTTCTTCTACTGTGTCTTCTTCCCCCTTCTCTTTGGAATACCACTGGTCTATGTGTGCTGGAGTGCTTATAAGATCTACAAGGACCAAATGTTGCCACCAAGTGGACGAAGACGCATCCTGGCAATATACTTCTTCCGGCTGGCATTTGTGTTCCTTGTCATGTGGCTTCCTGGATTGTTACTTTTGTTTGTAACAGGAGCCTGGTTAGATCCCTGGGTTGAATGGGTAGGAGGCTCTTGGTCACATTTGCAAGGGGCTGTTTCAGCTTTGGTGTGTCTCTTGAAACCAGACATCTGGAAGACTGTGCGAAACTTTTGGACTTGCAACACTCTTGCTAAGGATGATGACAACGAGGATAGCGAGAGGGAAATGAGTTGGTTTACCTCCTTTGACAAGATTGTGGGAAGCACCAGAGCCAGTTTTCGGGTCAGTCTCAAAGTGCTTGGTGGTGGAGTTAAACGAATTCAAAGGGCTGCGAGCTTGTCTTCTGCTAGGCTTGATCTGTTGGATGACATGTCATCCTCGTCATCGTCTTCATCCTCTTCTGGATCTGTGGTGATTGAAAAGAAGGACAATGTTCTTACCAGTGGAAACTTCACAGTTGAAACATGTTCCAATTCTGTTCCCGCCTCTCAAGAGTTGGTATCTCAGAATTCACTCAGCTTTTTGCAAATGCTGGACGATAGCAGCAGCAGCAGTGCTGATGATGATGCTCATGAAAGATCTTGCGCATCCTTTGTCACTGATGAAATGCGATCCTTGCAATCTCTCCGAAACACGCTGTCTGATGGCAGCAGCACTGATAGTGACGGTGATGATGATGATGGAGAACGGTGCGGTGTGGATGCCTCCCCTCCAGATGCCAGTCTAAGATGTACGGATCTAGATCCAACCACAAGCCGTGTGGATGAAGAAAATGGCATTGTAGCTGCCTACGGTGGACAAAGCAGCGCTACTGCTGTTGACGAAGACTGTGCAGCCAGCACTGGAAATGATCCAAGTTTCTCTGATGCTGCACCGGTACAACACCCACCCAACGAATCCTTCCAAAATGGAAGTCACGAACGCCAACCAATGTGCACTGAGCAAACTTCAGCCAGCGATACCTTCGACAATGAATGCACCCATGATATTGCTCAATCTCCAGTTCATGATGCGAGCATGACGAATATTAATGCAGAGGTGGTTGTACAAGATCATTCACTCCTTGATCTTGAGGCAGGAACTGAAGGAAAACAATGTGCCAATATGCTGGGCAGCAATGAAGAGGACGATGATTGGCAACAAGGTGTCAATATGTTGAGCAGTAACGAAGAGGACGATGGAAGGCAAGAGCAGAACGAAGCTCAAACCAACGAACAGGCATTGAGTACCGTGTAAAGCAAACCCTGTTTACAAGGAACGAACTCCATCAGGGGAATTCGGGGGCGCACACGGCACCACCAAGGTCGCCTGTTTTTCTTCCTGAGCGGAAAGAGGAGCTGACTAGAAGCTAGAGCTGGTGCGTGTACACGGAGGATTTGCCGTCGTCAAGGAGTCAAGGATGCTTCAGTTCATGGCTTCTCATTTTGGGAGCCAGAAAGGTCGACTAGATTTCAGTTGCAAGGTTGCGGGCGCGGACATGAGATTCTGCCGGATTCCTACTGGTAGCGAGTTCCCAAGGGACACTCTCAAGTTTCATGTAACCACGAGAAATATTTAGCCTTCATGTTGAATAATGACGATGCAAAGCTGAGGAAAAGAAAAAGAGGTTGCCCGATCCTACCGGTAGTACTAGCTAGGCTAGTTCCCACCGGCCATCGACTCTTGTGTTGCCATTTCCCACCGATGATTTTGCAGCCCGCGGATCACCAATCAATCGACGAAAAGCATACTTGTGTCAAGAAACTCACGAGGCAATGGTCCAGCATTCTTGTCGCTGCATCTTCGAAGCAAAAGTCAATTCTCCCCATGTGGCTGCTCGTAGCTCCCAGGCCGGAAAACTAGTAGGTACATGTACATGTACATGTAGCTCGTCGTAGCTCCTGGATTGTCACAGGGGGGATCGCAGCCTCGAACCGTACGATACTCTTGAATCTTCTTTGCTGAAGCCTGACCCCGGCTTCCGGTTGGACCTACCAGTCCTCGAAACCCCCCGTCATCGACGAATGTTCAATGCTTGTAGTTGATCGATTCTACCCCGAATTGACTTATTGAGCCGCATCGAATGAATCTCAATCGAATGAATCGAATCACACCGTCTCATCAGAAGAGGCCATTTATTTTTTAATTGTTACAGTTATTGTTACTAGTACCATAATGGTACCGTACGCTGGTACCTGGTACCTGGTACCGGTACAACTGTACAGCGTAGCTCAACCGGCATCCGGCATTTGACATTGAGTGAATTAAGAGGTGGAGTGGTGAAATGGGGTATACGTACATACGTACTGTAGAACGTACTAGTAGCAAAAACTAAACCAACTTGATTTGCTAAAACATTTAATGATTATGACTTGGAACAGAAAGGATCTCCCTTTTCGGATCACCCGACACCCGATTAGATCCTTGGAGCATTGGGCTTTAAACTGTTTCTCAACAATGACATGAAACAGTGACACTGTTACTTCGAGTACTGGTAAATGTTACCGGTATCTTTACTACAGCACAACGCAAAACAAAAGACAGTGTTCCCCCCAGGAAAGGAATCTTCTTGGCAGAACAAAAAGGGAAGCTAAAAGGCTTATTGGTTTCTTGACTGGAGAGCGACGACTCCGTTATTGCTGAGCTACTAGTACCGTCCAGGTGCTTTCCCCTCGAGCTAGCCACCTCCCACCCATAGACGAAGTCGCTGCACCTTCAAGAGCAGACAACCAGGAGATCTGGACAAAAGCTCCCACACTTCCCACTACAATCGCGTCTTAAACTAAAACTGCAAGCTCCTCCTTGAGTACAAAGGAGGCTGATAAAGCCAAACAAAGATGACAGACTCAGACCATTCCTCATCTGATAATCCCAATGATAGCGAGGTCCCATTGAATGAGATTGTGATCCGGAAATGGGACCTGAATGAAAACTCTACACACTATGATCGACTGGTGGCAGCTCCATCCGATGAAGACCTCATCAAGTTTTGGGCTGGATGGGCTGGCATTATGCTGGCCACTGCTATCTTGACCACTGCCATTTGGATTCCTCTTATGGCATCCAAAAAGGTCAAGAAGAACCCATTCAATCTGTACCTTATCTTTCTCCTGACACCTGACATGCTGGTAGCTTGGACTTGCGGTTTCACCTGTTTGACGAATGCTCTTGCAGGTCGATTTACATCTGAATTCTTGTGCTACTTCCAAAGCTGGTAAGAAGAATTGAGAGATTCAAGAGTTGCAATTAAGTGTTTGAACAGTTTCTTACAGGTTTCCAACTTTCTGTAGGTACATGATATCCTCCATTTGTGCCAACTCCTGGTTGAATGCCCTAGTAGCCTACCAACTCTACACCATGCTCAGCAGTGCGCAACAATTTGTCCGCTATCAGCCACCTACCACCATACAAGTTTGTAAGCATGCTGCCTGCATCTATTTCTACAGTGGCTTCCTGGGATCCTGGGGACTCATCCCTGTGGATTGGTGGCCCCACAAGACCCGACTCACAATTGGCAGTGCCTGCATACCAATGGATTACAGTACCGCTTCCACCATCTTCTTCTACTGTGTCTTCTTCCCCCTTCTCTTTGGAATACCACTGGTCTATGTGTGCTGGAGTGCTTATAAGATCTACAAGGACCAAATGTTGCCACCAAGTGGACGAAGACGCATCCTGGCAATATACTTCTTTCGGCTGGCATTTGTGTTCCTTGTCATGTGGCTTCCTGGATTGTTACTTTTGTTTGTAACAGGAGCCTGGTTAGATCCCTGGGTTGAATGGGTAGGAGGCTCTTGGGTCACATTTGCAAGGGGCTGTTTCCGCCTTGGTGTGTCTCTTGAAACCAGACATCTGGAAGACTGTCCGAGACTTTTGGACTTGCAAAAGTATTGGGGATAAAAAGAACCAAGGGGGGAGTGAGCAAGAGTCTGCCTGGCTTAGTTCGGTTGGAAGTCGTGTGGTTTCTGCCAGATTCAATTTACGCTCAAGTCTGGTGGCATTAAGCAGTTTGATGAAGCAAGAAAAGAGAGCGTCGAGCTTCACTGGCAGGACTGATCTCAGGGATGATTATGTTTCGCCATTCTGCTCCTCTTCCTGTCCAACAACGATTGATCGAATGAACTGTGTCCTGACAAGTGCAGAATTCATTGCACAAACACATGCACAATCCTGCAGCACTGAAGAATTGCTGCCTCGGCAATCACTCTGCGTTGTGCAAATGATGGGAAGCAGCAGTTGTAGTGATGATGAGAAGGATGCGGAAATGTCCTCGGACACAGACAAAAAACAATCCAAAAATGTGCAGCTACCCATTGGCAGTGGCAGTGGCTATACCAGCAGAGAGGAGCATGATGAGGGCTTGATTGGTGACAACAAACATCAAGGGGAAACTAGCATCCCATTTGGGGATGAAGACAATGATGTCCAAACAACCTGCCACGAATCAGATCTAACAATCGATGTGACCATTGCGGAAGGCCAAGACAAGGTCAATACCATGCAACAAGAACCAAACAATCCTTGTCGTGTTGAGCAAAATCCTGCCGGGGACACCTTCCAGGATGAAGACTGTGAGAGCCAACCTGTTTGCACCGAAAATGTCATAACTAGGGAAACCTTTGTTGATGAAGACATGCATGAGGATTTTCAAACTGTACTCATTGAGTGAGCATAGGTTTGATGGAGAAGCCAATATTCGACGCTCACCTCAAACCAACAAATTGTGTCATGCAATGATGATGGGATTCTTTGGGAGCTACAAGACCAAGATCCAGATGATAAACAGACAATGAGCAATGTGTGGAGGAGGTTCCACCAAGAGAGGTCGAAACAGTGGAGCGCAGTAGCTCGCTTGCACTTCGTTTCCAAAGCTCGAGCAGTATTGGCGAATGGAGTTTGCGAAAGGGCTAGAGGGCGACTCACCGCCCAAGTGGCAGTGAGCCAAACTCCCGTGTGAAGTGTCGAAAACGGAGCAACCGGGTCATCGAACACTGAATTTTTGAACCATATGATGTTTGCAGGTGGGTGTCCGCGACGACGTGACTCCATAAGGATGACGTCTGCTGTTGACAATGGGACAAGCGAAACGATACCTCCTAATAACGAAAGCACTAGCTAGGAACAAAATATTATGTGTTCGTAATTTTTGTGCTATCGATTGTTGAAAATCTGGAAGCCAGTACCTGGTAGCGCGTCCTCTGCGATATCATCGTGCGTATGTATATCTATAGATCGAATCGAGTTGAATTGAATTGAAAAGAGTGTCCCCCGACAGCAAATGGATTATACAAACGTCCAATTCGAGAAGTGCTGCTAACGAGGGCGCAACGAAACTGCCCAGCCAGCCATGCAGTCTCAAAGAAGGGGGCAGGGGTGGTCTACGGCCGTTCGGAAACGCGACAGTCACCATGTTGTTTTCGACTTGAATGAACGTTCGTCGCTGAACCTATGGAGTGCTTCTCAAAATTGTTGCGTTCACGAGAGTCACCAAACTGTTTCGACTTCAATCAAACGTTGATTGGGCATGGTCCTCGGAGTCTGGAGATGCAACGAGAAGTTTCGGTTGGGATGTAGCGTTTCCAAGCTCTTGGAAATCCAAAGTTGTTAGAACTGTATGGTACACGTATAACGACTATATACGAAATACGGTATACGCGTTCCTCGTAGACTGTTTTCTTTTTCCTCATACCGGCACTCAGGTTTTAATGTACCACTCTTGCGAGCTTTATTGACACTAAATAGAAGGAATTAGAGTAAGAATTAGAGATTTAAACAACATGTGACTGGCGGTCGATTGGCGTCGATCGGCATCAACTCTTTTCGATTGATCCAATGAAGAACACAACCAAGAGATAGAGCACACAACAACAAGCAATGATGAGGTTGCCAGCTTTTGCCGCGGCTTTCAGGAGAAGAAGACAATGACAAGGCTCGGCGGATGGTTTAAAAGATGCCACAGAGTTCGGGGAATGCCAGGCTTGCTTCTGGGGCTAACACGACAATCAACTCCCATCCATCCGCATTGTGGCTTGAGGTCTTTCTTTGCCGGACACGCTGCTTTGCTTCGATCTCTTCACTGGACAGCAGGCAGTTTGTTATCTCAAACATGGCAACTAATGGACATCACCACCTCCTCATGGAGGCGCTCAAAGTCAGATTGCTGCTTCCCAATTTTGACAGGGCAAAGGCTTTATTTTCAGTTGGGATGCCCGTCGAATTGTCGACAGCACCAAACTCGCTAGAGCGTCTCGGTCGCCTCATGCGGTCCTACGCACAGAAGAATGGAGCACCAAACGTATCTACCAACGAAGACGCAATGGTTAATCGAGCGGTGCAGCTGCTGTTCATCATGAAGCGCCATCCAGACAACATTGTCAAGAATCCAGTCGCCCCGTTGAATGGCATCACGTTGGTGGAGGCAATGCTACTTGTTGGGTTCCAGTCGAAGAGTCAACAAGGCAACCAGAAATGGAAGGCTCAGTATCAGAAATGCTTGCGACGAAAGCAGAAATTAGAGAAGAACGAAAAAGCAAAGCGGCTTCGTCCCCCTCCTGTGGAGACGGTTGGAATTGATTCATCATTTTCAACACTCTCTCCATTGACACAGCGATCTCGATCCTCGTCTGCTAGTGCCACTGACAATGATGAAGATGAGCCTGAAGCGATGGTTACATCACCATCACCAAGAACACCGGGCACTCCAATGGAAGCATCTCCGCTCATGACACCGAGAACTATGACACCGAGGACCGAGCCGACACCAAGACGGCTCATGATGACATCCACGGTACCACCACAAGATGAGAATGAGAATACGCCAGACGATGACAGTAGGTTTTTTTGGGTTTCTCCATATCCGCTTGAAGATATGGCCTCTGTTTGTGGCACCACTGTTAGCTCTGGAAGCAGCTTGGTCTCTGCACGACAACAACAAGTCAAGCTTTCCTCGGTAGCCAACATTGATAAGCATCGCAGAACAACTAAGGCTGCACATGCAGAGCAACAAGAAGTTGAAATGCTGAAATCCATCCGCAGCGAACTGTTCAAGACAATGACTGTGCTATGGGAGGGTGTCTCGACTGGACGCAACACTCTCACTATCTTTGATACTCCGGAGAAAATTGCTTCCGCTTTCACTGCACTTTCTGGCATTGAGCTTTTCAGTGGAAACGAAATCCGATCGGCTGTCAAGAGAGGTGGTGCTGGCAAGTCTCCAGTGCGACGAGGAAGGCCGAGCTCTATCCCTGAAGAGACGTTCGAAGCTTTTTGCTCTGCTGTCTTTACATACTCGGCCATTCAACAGGTCAATGCCGAGGATCGAGATACAAGGCGTGACATTCAAACAATCGTTGGCTCGGTTCTCAATGCTAAACGTTTGGAAGACGGCCTTGATCCGATGGGTGAAGTTAGCTTCTTTCGTCGCATAGAGCAGCGTAACAGCATGAGGCAATCCTTTTCATCACCGGATCCAAGAGAAGCACTCCGTGTCCAATGGCTGACATATCAATGCCAAAAAGCTAACTACGAAAGATGGGAGGAGGCTGCTGTAGACCTCGGCTTTGCAAGGATGCCAGCTCCAGACGAAAACGCTGCTGGTCAACACATCATTTGGCTTGAAGGCCAAGCGAGAAGAGTTCTCCAGCTCGATGAAATGGGGTTTTCGATGGATGCATCAGTACGAGGCGGTGGTCGTCCATCGCATGTGCCAACCGCTGTTAACCTTCCAGACAGCGGCCAATCAGCACCGAAAGGTGGTGCCAAGGTAACGATCATCCACGGCATCAACTTTGCCGATGAAGTCTTTCCACCCTACGTTCAATTCCCATCCAAAGCCAAAGACAAAGCAAACTACAAACTCAGAATTAAGCTATTGGATGGCTTCCGTCAGATCAGAGGACAGTTTGGCTACAGTCGACAACACTGTTTTGACGTTGGCTTTGGAATGAATCCCAAGGGTGGCATGGATGCAGCCTGCTTTCAAAAGTATTTGGTGGAACACATCTGTGAGCTTTATCCAGACGCACAAGACGTTCCGTTGTTGCGAGTACTGATTAAAGCTGACAGCGGCCCTGGCAGGACGCTCCTTCCGATGCTTGGAGATCTACGAGCCCGAGGCATCTACCTCTTTCCAGGGCTCCCAAATGGCACAGAATTTCAAGAGATGGATAACCTCTACGCATTTGCGAAGACACTCAACTTCCGAAACAGAGACCTGTTGATAAGAGAGCGAACAAGGATCGATGGCGCCGCCTTCACGTCTCTTAGCTACAATGACATTGGCTATATTATGTTCGGTGGGAAGGTTCAATTGAATGAGACCGAAAGTGTAGAACTGCAGCCAGCGTTTGATCTCGCCTTCGATCAAGCACATATTCGACGAGCAAGGGAGAAATGCGGATATCTTCCCAGCACACGGGCTGCACTTGAGCATCCAAAAGTGCGTCATGAGGTTGTCCACGATGAAACGGGTGCTATCGATGCTGACGCTGATCCCATCGGTGCCTATTATCAGGCGTTAGAAAAGGCAAATCATGATGCATGTGCCGCTCTTGCGAGTGAAGGTTACGTCTTAGCTGAAGAAAAGCTGAAGCTGTCAGTGCGATGTGTGACTGCTGCTCAAGCTATCGGCCGAGAAGAAGCACGTACTGTGCCAAACACGAGAGAACGCCAAGACCTCATTGCAAAAGTTTCTACTGCCGGGCAGTGGTTTCATGTTACTAATGGGGGCGGCCCAATGAATAGCAATGATGCTTTGATTGCTTGGGCTCGAAAAGGAATGAAGCAAGAAGTCGAAAGGCTCCAAAAAGAAAAGACGGCAACAGTTGAATTTGAAGCTCTCGAATTGGAAGCAATCGATATAATGGAGAGGCTGCCGGAGCACGGTGATGGCACGCCACAACAACAAAATCAGTGGAAGAAAACATGGGTCAATGACACGCTCCGAACCATTATTCAATGGAAACAAGGGCCCCTTCCTTCTGAACCAAACAATGAAAAGGTAAAAGGCAAAGCAAAGCAACACCTGATTGATCTCTACGAGAAGAAATACATTGCAGTAGAAATGGAAGTTGGGAGCAACAGTTGGAGCTTGGAGAAACAAGAGCGACTCGATAAGCTGAAGAGTGGTGAGGTGAGCGATTTGATCAATGACACGGAGTTGAAGCGAGCTTTTGCCAGAGAGGAAGAGTTCCTCGAAACGAGGCTCCTTGCTTTGGATTCAAGCCGAAGGAAGAGGATCATGGGCAAGGTTTTATTGAATGTTTCGCCTGAAGAGCGAGATGGTGTTTTTCTTGGTCTGGTCGACGACTGCTCTGCATTGGACGGCGCATTGGACGACGATAGCATGGACGACGATAGCATGTGAGTAGCTACTACGGGTATCATATGCAATCAGAAATACAACAAAATATGCTTTTTATAAGAGAGTTAAGCTACTCATATCTTTGTTCTCGGTGTTGTTGGAAGTATCTTCAAACATTTGCTAACACAACGCTCTTAAACTCTCGGAAGAATAGCTTTCCTTGATCTTGTCGTTCGCTTCGAGGGCACACCACCTGAATGCTTCTCAATCCATCATTGTCTTCAACACCAACAAAATCTAGGAGCATTCCACGGGCGCTGCTGTTAGCACTTTCTAGCCGGTGAACGTTTATTGTTGATTTTTCCAAAGGGAGACCAATTTCAATAGACATTGGCTGGCCAACAATGATCTCCCCAGTCTCACGGGGTGGCATTACTTGCTCCGGCAAGAGGTAACCATCAACTTTCAATCGATGAAGGTACGGTGTCTCATGGCCTTGGATCATTCGAGCGAGTACAGGCGAGACAGCAACTTGAAACGCGATGCTTCCTTGGATTTTCAATTCAGTTCCATTGCGATAGACAACATGCAGACTTCCGTGAGCTTTGGCCTCGGCTGCTTCATTTGGCGGTCCGTAAGGAATTGTTTGAAATATCATCGTCGATACGAGCTGCTTGAAACGATTCTTGTAGTTCCTTGTGCTTGTGTCAGTTAGAGGTTGATTGTTGTATTGCGTGCGAGGTAGCCAGCAAGCTAGAACATTCTCAACAGAACTGCTTGGTGACGACCCAAATCAATTGAAACTGGAGCAACTGCAGCTACGAGCCCCCTTCCGCCCGGACGATCATTCCCAGAAGGTTCGTATAAGTAGAAACTAGCATCAGCACCTCCAATGGCAGTGCCAGTGCTGGTAAAGACAGGATTGTAACCGCTGATCAACGGGGAAGAAGACTCGGAGTGTCGGCCCAAAATCCGTTGCTGCAGTGTCAAACCGATCGGGTTTGCGGATAGCTTCTTTGGTACGATCGATCAAGCTCATAAATCCAACTTGGAGAGTGTAGTAGCAATCGATCGAGAGAGTGTAGCAAGCAAAATGGCGTCCCATCTTGCCGTCGTATCCTTCTCTGCCTTTTCCCATGGAGTTCGCTTTATTGACAAGACGATGGCTGCGATTCTGCAGGAGCTGACGACGGCTCTAGATGGAACTGAGGATGTGACAAAGGTGTTTCTTCATGCTGGAAATGAGTTTGCCAATCTCAATGCTGCGATCCAGGAGCTTGTTGCTACTCGTTCAGGATGTCGCATGGAGCAGCAGCGTGGGAAAACTGTCATCAACCTCCCAAATGGAAAGGTGGTCGGCTTTGTCGTTGTGGATGATGCTCCTGCCATGCCATGGCCTGCTGTGCCTGTACCTGTGCAAGATGTGCCTGTGCCAGCTGCTGCTGCGGTCGATCTTGACGACAGCCACACTACCCTTGGAGACGACAGCGACGAATTGGCAGAGATCCGAAACTTGGCCAATCCTCCCTCTCGCCCTCGATTCACTCGTCGCACCAACCGCAACCGCCGCACTTGCAACCAGAACCTTGATGACTCTGATGACTCTGACACCCTCCTTGACGTCTCTGGATGGGGACTCACTCAAGAGATGTAGGCAAAGCAAGATGATAAAGAGAGATGTTGGCCATGACGGTGCTGTTGCTGTCGGAAGCTTGTTTCAGTGTTGGTGTCTAGAGGTGGCTGCTGCTCTGTGCAGCCCGGAGAGTACTAAAAATTCTATAGTAAATTCCAAGGGGCTTCTCAGAAAGTCAGCCGGAGAATGAATTAAAATAATACGTTATATACGCGTATGCGCGAGTTTTTCGTATTTGACGGCTAAACGTGTAGTAGCCAGTTCTCTGGGAATGGACTGATTAGCAAGTAGCTACTAGACTATAATAGTAGATCTACTCCAGCCAGAGGACACACATATCAATAGCAGCCTTGAGAACATGTACCGGTAGCAGGGCTTTATCGAGTGGGATCAAACACCATATTGCAGAATTGCATGGAGCAGGACCAAACTCAAACTCAAACTCAAAAGACGGCGGTCTATTCAAGTTTTGCTTTTACACAGTACGATGATGTCCAAGATAAGCCGGGTACTGTAGTCTAGCTTAGTTGGCCTTATCTGAAACCAACTCGCACGTGTTGGAAGGGCATTACTAGAGCTAGCTAGAGAACTGCAAACTGCCAAAAGCGCGACCTTGGAATTGAAGTGACGGTCGATGGTTATCGAGCCTTTTACCCTGCCGCAGCTGCAGCGTTGAACATGAACACTCGACGAAAGCACTTTTTGCGCTCACCGGTACCTTAGGTCCACTGTTAGAGCAACACCGCCGGGACACCTTCGAGCGGCAAAAGCTGTAGTATCGGTACCATACAGGGTCACGGTACGTACGATGTGGCGGCAAGGATATAGCCACTCGAGAGGCTACGGTAGTTACTAGCTAGCTACATGTAGTAGCCAGCAGCCGTCTTGTTGGAGGCTCCTGTTGCCAGCGGTTGCCTTTCTCCTTGGCCCGCCAACACTTGCAACACCTTGTCCCTGCTTGCTGAAACCTTTGAACCAACTGCATGTAGTTAGTAGCGAAAAACCCAGGCCGCAGCCAAGGTGTGCGGCTTTCTGCCTTTGAAAAGAAATTGTGGACGTACGCTTGCAATACAGATAGATAAAGACTATTTTAAAAGGTTGATTCAAACCCCCCAGAAGCCTCGTGCCCTCCCTAGCTAGCTACGGTACCCGTGGCAACTAGATGGGTTCTTGCTATTGTTTGTCGTCTTCTGCCTCGTCGTCGTCTTCCTCATCGAGCTCGTCTTCGGAAGACGTTAACCAATCATATTCCAACACAAGTCCATGAATAGAAGAACGAATCGTACTCCTCCGTTGTACCTTTAAGCTCAGTGGTTCTCCTGCTTCTTCCACGCTGTCTTCTTCATCCTCTTCTTCGTCGGCGTATTCTGGAATGTCCAATAACGACATTCCACTTTGACTGGCGAAACTGTTTCTAAGATGTGCCATCAGCTTGGGTGTGCTGCTTGTGCTGCTGTTGGCATCCTGTTGCTGACTGTGGTGGGACGACTCGAGCGCTTCCATGAATTTTTTGTTCATGCATTCCTCTCCCAGCCCAATTTTATCGTGATCTGGCAATTGCTGGCGTTCATGTTCCAAGGCTTCCAATCGGGTCCGCAGTTCTTCGAGCGACTCGTTGGAGTCTTGACGCGTCAAATCCGGCCGCAAGTCCTCTTCGTAGTCGTCGCAATCGGCATAGAGGATGCAATCGGATTCATCGTCTAGATCAAATTCAATGACCAGCCCATTGACAGATTTGCGCGAAGACCGCCGTCTTCGAATTTCATTCTTGGTGACCGGAGCAGAGGAAGAGGAGGATCGTCGTTCGGGTTGTTGTTGTGGTTTCGTCGGTGGTGGACTGTTGCTGGAGCTTCGTACGCTACCACTCGCAAGGCGCGGAGGAGTGGTGCTGCTGTTGGAATTGCGTAAACTGGAAAAGCGATTAGTGAAACTGCTGGTGGAACTCCGGATACTACCAAACAAGGTTGTTGTGTCCTTGGTACTGGCAGTTCGCAAGCTGGCGTTTCGCAAAGAGGCAGGGTCCTTCTTGCTGCACGGTTCCTCGTCGTCGTCATCTGACAACGTCAATTGTGGATTGGGATTGTTGCGCTGGTGCGTTCCGTTTCGTTGTTGTTGTTTGCAGACACTACTAGCATCATCATCAACAGCATCACCGCCAAGGTTGAGCGGCACTTCTCCCAAGGAGATGCTCCTTGTGGGAAGCTTGTTAGAGGCAAACACTTTCATCACGGGCAACACGATATCGTCTTGCTTTTCTTCAAAGCTGGGGTCGGCTGCTCCTCGCAGCAGCGACCTCGGATTGGGAGGACTCAGCCGTCCTCGTGGTGTTGCGGATTTTCGGCCTTGGAGCTGATGGGGTGCCGCTGCTGTTGGTCCGTAGAAACTTAGGCTGTGACGGTTCATTCTGGTTGATACTACAACGATTCGATTTCGATTCGATTGTTGGTTCCTCTCGGCAATAACACAAATAAATGGCTGCTTGCTAGTAGAGGAGTAGAGTGGAGACTGTAGAGCAGCAAAATGGTCTGGGACTCTGTCAAAATATGACAAACCCCAAGTGCTTTCGGTTTTGTCACGCAAAAGAGAAGCGACACAATCAACTGGTTCCACTGTATGTTGTTGTCTAGCTAGGTATGCATGTAACAGCTACTGCCGGATCAGACCCTTTTGTCAACCTTGTACTGTATCCCGCAAGCTCCAATGGTAGCGCCTAATGAATGAAGGTCGTCTGGAAAGAGGGCGTCTCAGTTTCCAAAGAGGAAGGTGATGAGTGCCAGAGCTAGCTAGCTAGTGTGTTGGGGCACCAGTCCAGCAACCAGCAACACGTTACAGTAGCGGAGTGATGCGAGATGCGAGGAGGACTTGAGGACTTCAGCCCTCCGTTGACTCTGTAGAAACGTCCAGGCAACACAAAAGTTTTACTGGCAGTAAACCGTTTGATTGTGGCAATCATTAATTTTCATTAATTTCAGAATCAAAATAATTCTATTTTAAAGGTAAAACTACTCAATAGTAAAAAACACTTTTACAATAATAATATGCAAACTCCAAGAGCCATTCCAGGTAAATTTTAAACAATTATCAGAAAACAATCAATTTCTAAAGTCATAGGTACGGTAAATTTCAATTAAGGCTCCACGTGAAGTATACGCTGACGAACTTCAACCATCCGAGAACCACCTGGTTTAGAGGAACAAACTGGCGGTAACGGCTCAGTAATTCATTGTTATCGTTCATACAGGAAGAGCCCAGGAAGCCGTAATGTGGGAGCTATGTGGTTGGACCCGCAGTAAAGAAGTTTAGCGTTGAGGTTAAATTGAACTGGGGGAAGAATGGAGAGAACAGGGGGCAGAAGGCCCACGTTCTCACTGACTCTTTTTGCCGTCAGGCGACAAGTCTTGGTCTTGGTGGCTACAGTCAACGCTCGCTTATATTTATTTATCTTGTATTTATTCGCTCTATAATATTTAAGAATACTCCAGTTCCCACATTTTTAACTCTAACCCTATTTTAGTACTAGAGCACGTACAATTCTACGGGAATAGTTAGAGTTAGGGATAAAATCAATATTTATTCTCGCTGTTATATTTACTGAATTCCTGAATCCCCCCAGTATATATATCTGAATGTTGACTGTACAAGACGGGAAACGACCACTGGATGCTGGATGCTGGGTGGAGGATGGTATTCGTACGGTATGATGCTAGAGAAAACAACTCCCTGGAGATGATTAGTTTTAGCTTTAGTTTTGGCTGGTTACAGTAATTAGAAGCATAGGCGTTCTTCGCATTGTCCATTTCAATGGTACTGGCTACGCGTATCAAAAAGCTATCAAAATCGACTCGACTCAGGTTGATTACTTCGCATTCTTTTGAAGCAAGGGAAAATTTTCCCAATGGGCATCCTTTTAAATTCTGTTTGGTACCGTATGGTGTGTGGAGACAAAGAGATCCTTCTGGAGAACAAAAAAAGATTATTGACGGCTTTTGACATCTCAGCTAAAAGAAAGCTCTGATCTGATCTGATCTGATCTGAGCACTGATACACACATGCCTACCGGTACCGTATCAGCTACCACTGGTACATGTAGCTAGTAGTAGCTTGATGCCACCGACTGCCAATCTGGAACCTTTAGCTAGACTAGATACCGGGGCTGATACCAGTACTAGTACCTGGTAACGCCTCCACCCTGCGCTACCCCTTCCGGCTACAATCCTTCCCCTTTTTTGTTTTTGGCGGGGGCGAAACTCTTGACGAAACATAAAGACCACTCGGAAAGATGCTTCACCAATAGCCAGTCAATACCGTTTCCATGAGGAAGCCGGATCACGGGTCGCCTAACACATTTATTAAATTCTGCTCAAATCCTTTATGAAGTATTGAAGGGAGAACATGTTCAATAAAGCAGACTTGTGCAGGGGCAATCAGTTATTAGGGTGTTGTGTCCTTAATGTTTTACGTGACAAACAGCTAGAGTACTGGAGAATTTATAGTCAAGCTCACATGGTCCTTTTTTACGTTCTTTCTCTCGTAGGAGCTTCGTATGATCATAAAAGAACAAATGGTCAGTATCTCCTTCTTCCAAACCAGGATTTATTGAGACTTTTACTCGAGTCTGGTCTTGAACGAGAATGAAATAGGACTCGGTCTCCCGAGTGTCCCAACCCACCAAAAATCGAATTAGCCAACTAGCCAACTCTACACCCAAACTCTACTACAAGAAATACTATCGCCATTACTCTAAGCAGAGCAATGTGGAAGCACACTTGCTCCTGCCAGGACTGGTACGTCACCATAGATAGAGTTAGGGTTACCAGGGGAACAGCCAGTCGGTAGGAGCCAATCCAGAGCCACATTGCTAGCTAGTAGCCACCAATCGAAGAAGAGGACAATGTCGTCCTTTTTTTTTAAGGGGGCTACTCAGTTCAATGTTGGTTTCCAACGGTTTTGGCTAGGTGCACCAGATTGCACCTTCCAACAGTTTTGGATCCCAACGGTTTTGGGGTTGGTGCACTGGATAGCACAGTTTCCCAACTCTAGCACTATCGTTTCGACACTGCACAGACATGTGTATTTAGTCGTCCCTAAATAGTCCTAGTGAACTGCCCATGTCATCCGGAGTGCGGACGGCTGAGGTGGTGGCTGGGAGTCGAGGAAGACTCATAGAGCTACTCTAGTTAGCTAGCTAGGGTAACTTCGGTGTCCAAATAGTATATGACGCCAGCTAGCTATCGCAGCTACATCAGAGGCAACAATCGAAGATCCAGCTTGTGATGGGGTGATCTGAAAACGAAGGAGAAGACACAGAAATCGGAATTTGACTTACCAGAGATGTAAAGAACAAGCAGCCGGAGGCTGATGCCCTCAACTGTCAAAAAGAGATTTGACTTTTAAAATGTCTTTGGCCAAATCATTTACCGTGTTCAACTGGACACACTAGCAAGTCTCGATAGCCAGCCAATATCTACCTATGTGTCAAAACTACTGTGTCCAACAGAACACACACACAATAACAATCCCTATCCTTAACAAGGAAAGTGACCCTATGTCCTTGGCCAAACCTACTCCGTGTTTTTCTCGACACACTAGCAAGTCTGCATAGCCAGCCAGTACTGGTACCCATTTGTACAAACTACTGTGTCCAACAAAACACACAATATGAATCCCTTTCCTTAACGAAGCAAGTGTCCCTTATGTGACAAAAACAGCTGCAACAAACACACACACACACACACACACCTACCCAGTGTGATAGACTCTCAGGAGCGTCCCTCAGTCGTGCAAAACACCCCTAAAAATAGGGGCAGGTTTGAAATCCGCCCTAAATCCAGCTTAGATAGGGGCGGATTCCAAATCTGCCCCTGAATGGTAAAAACGCCCCTAATTTTAGGGGCAGTTTCAAGAAACTGCCCCTATTATTTAGGGGCGGATTTCAAAACCACCCCAAACAGTAAACGGGACTGTACTCAAAATATGTTGAAAACGGCACTATTTTAGGGGCGGGTTTGAAATCCACCCCTAAATGACGAAACGCCCCCATTTTAGGGGCGGATTTAGGGGCGGATTCTCCAAAATGCCCCTATTTTTTGGGGCAGGTTGAAACAACCTGCCCCTAATGGATACCTGCCCCTAAACTCTGCCCCTAATTTCGGACGTTTGGATTTAACCACACCCACGATTGAGGAACGCTCCAGTCGGTTGAGGGCGATGTAAGCAAGGGTCGGGGAGGTTGGGGTGATGGTTGTGATACATGTTCCCAAATTGATGTATTGATATTGCTCGTAAAGAAGCGCAGATTCAGCAAGATAAGATGATGGACAGGGAACTGCTATTTCGTACTTACGACTGCTCAATGCCGGAGGCAAAAATAGTCATCCGTACAGTAGTGGCAAAACATACCGCTACCTTGCCTGGTGCCCGGATGTTGGACTAGCTAGTGCTAGTAGTCACTGAAAATCCATTGCGGGCTGGCTGATGGGTTCATTGGTGCAGAGATGCCGAGTGACTGGATTACGGCAAAGTGTTCGCAGCATCTGAAACATGCGGACTCTTACCGATAGCTACATGTGCAAGCTAGGACGCAATTTTTTCGTTTCGTTTTCAAGTCCCAGCACCAGTCTGATGGGTGAACAGGGAAGCGGGTAGTTTTTTATGTCGCAAAGCAGGCTTGCAAGAACAACAACAATGTCTATAGTTGCCAAAAGTGGGCCTGGCCTGACCGCTCTACGGTACGAATGCAAGTCTTGGCCAAAGAGCTTCGAACAACGCGTGTTATGATTATTGTTGAGATATTCGTGTCGACGCTCGCTGTTCCTGATGTCGCCTATACAACGTTACCATCAAATCGCTTCGCGGTCACGTCTTCCTCTGTTGATAGCCGGGTGTCGACGTCAAGGCGATCAGTCTTGACCTTCTTTTTGCGCTTCTTGGCACGAATTTCTGAGCCTCGAGTCGGTACAACACCTTCTTCCTCTTGCCAGAGGTATACTTGTTCCTCTAAAAGGCTCCTAATCTTGGTAAACTCAGGCCTGGCCTTGAGCTCTCGGGTCCAACATTCCTTCATCAAATCTACCCAAGTGGATGGCCAGGATGCGTCGGGTTTTGGGCGGTATCCTTGCTTCACTACCTTCTCCGCGTGCATTTTTGTCGAAAAGCCCGAATATGGCGTTGTCAAAGTGCATATTTGCCTTGATTGAATCAATCATTCCCATGAACAATCAATTTCGACGTTTAGCTTCCAACTCACTCTTGCAATCTGTCAAAATTGAGACTGGAACAGTTGCACTTACCAAAACAGTATTCCAAAGCTATAACAGTCAGCCTTTTGATTGTAGGGTAGCCCTATGGCAACCTGATGATGATGATGTGTAGAAGAATGATCGCAAGCAATTTTCAGGGCATTCTCGTACGATGAAGATGTCGAGAACATCACATTCCAATAGGGTGGTTTAACTGACCTCGGGCGCCATGTATCTGAGACTGCCTACAAGATGGATAGGACAGGCAGACAATCATCAGCAAGAGCATCGATCCGTTCATTGGTAACGGAATCAATCGATTCTCAACCTACCTGTATTTCCCGTCAACAAATACAAGTCATTATCAGTCTGGATACTGGGCGACAATCTCTTGGCCAGTCCGAAATCGAACAATTTCAACTCATTGGCGGCATTGAAGCCCAAGTTGTCTAGTAAATTTCAGAAGTTTTGCTGAGAAACAAGCCATTGAATGCCACGAGAATAGGCATTTGCGTAGCGTACCTGGCTTCAAGTCTCTGAATGGCGGCGAACGGAGACGACACAAATTTGAGCCATTGATGTTGCGTAGCGTTCTGGAAATCGTTCCCATCAACCTACCTGTAAATTACTTTCTTTCCATGCAAATACTCGATTGCCTTGGCAATATCTCTTGCCACTGCCAGGCGTTGCAGCCACAGTTGATTCAAGGCGTGCTTTTTGGCACAGCAGTAACCGATACAACATCCCCACCACATTCCAACATTTTCTCCAACCTCTTTTCTCCAAAAGTTGAATCGTCTGTCCAGCGTAGTCACCAATCGATCCAAGACGACAAAAAAGGAAGTGGAATGAGGATCGCTATTGGCCATGGCCCTCATGGAAATGATCCCTGGATGGCTCAACACGGCTAGAAATTCGGCCTCAATGGCAAGATCTACAACTCCTTTTGCTTGTTCTTCCTCTGGCAAATCATTTCGAAGTTTCTTCAGCACAAACAGTGGACGTTGGTGGGAGCGATCATTGTTGGAACTGGCAAAAAATCGTCGCAACCGTGCCTGATCCTCTGTCGTGTCATTCACTTCGTCTAGATCAATGTGACTAATCTCATTCACCAACGAGAAACCGCCCTGCCCAATGATTCGTCCAACCGTGATTTCTAGTGTTGCAGCAGCAGCAGAAGCGGGGGTTAGAAGCCCATCACCTGAAACATCCCCCAACAACCGCATCAAACCATCACCATTGTGGCCCCTACAAAAATTGTCGCTACGGTTTTACGTACCACGATACGCCAACTTGGGCAAATGGTCAAGTTCTTGAATCGTTTTGGGGGCTGTGCTACTCGTCATGGTGTAGTAGCAAACTCTCTCGTTAGGATAAACTTGCTGGGTGCATTCGACCAGTCCAAAAGGCAAAGGTTCTTGTCGGATGCGTCCTCCTCTTCTTCGACAGTCGATTGTTGATCTGTTGTGGAACGCTGTGCAAACACCCGTTCACCGCAAATAGAACTGGGGGTCCGGACTACCCCAAGCAATCTAGCTAGATAGCTAGCTACAGTAGAACAGTATCGTAGGGGGCGGTGTTTGTTTGGTCTCTGCGATGCTCTTGCTCAAGTTGAACAAGCGAAAGAAGAAGACTGTTGTTCATGGTTGGCTTCAGCCAGGTTGCTTGAGGCTTTGTGTGACCTTCAAAACCCTAGCCCTAACGGACAATGTGACATTTTTGTTTGGATTGCGCCACCGGAACACCACCAAGCCCGAGCAAACACACAAGATCCAAAGATGCTCCCGTTCTGTAAAGGTGTACATCGTACAGCGTACCGGTAGCTCCTAGGATGGTTCAATCAAGCATAGCTTCACTGGGATGGAAACGCAACTCGGCATATTTTTGCTGCGCACAACGACTATGCTGCAGAGTTTTGTCTTGATCTGCAGGGTACTACGGTAGCCAGTTGGATCAAAAGCCTGCGGTTCCAGTTCGAGTGGGAAGTCACTGCACCAGAATTTCAGCCTCTGTCAAGCTAGTTGTGCTATTAAGAGCCGAAAAAGCTCATACCAGAATCAATCACGGAGAACAGCCAGCTCTAGAGAAAGGGCCCAATCCATTCCTGCAAGCAACTCTTTCTTGCAGCACTGCGAAGAGGAGGCAAGATGATTGCAACATTCGTGTAACAATTACTTCCCTCCCGACTAGTAGTACCTTTGGCCCGAACGTGCTTCCGCAGAAGGGTTTCGGCAAGTGTCCACTTTCTCCGACAGCTACAGACTTCAAGCATAACGCCAACGAACTTGCACAAAATTGGTACGCACGCTCGGAGAAACACGGTCCTGTTGAGCCTCCTTGCCCAATACAGGCAAAACGAAATTCATCAGTATTATAGTACATTTTCCTGCTCCTTGTGGAATGTATCCCGTGAATGCCATCGCGGCAGTGTCCGATCTATTCCTCCCTTCCCTCCTCCATCCTCTGCGTACTGTATGCATGTTTACAATTTTTCTCTAGAGTGATTTGTCTTTTTTGCTGTATATCGATCGACAACGGGATCGATCGATGGATCACCAACCCCATCATCTATGGCACCACATCCGAATTGGTTGATGATTTTTGTTGCAGCACCACAGCGGTCATGGTCGTATTGTTTCTTCGGAACAAAACCCCATTTTCCCCTTGGAGCTGAGCAGCTGCTGCTGCTGGTGTTGCCGTGCCTTTTTCCGCGGCTGCCCTTTCCTTCATTCTTTCTGCTCGCGACTTGCGGCTGACACGCTGAGCACTTCCACGACGTTGAGCACTGCCATTAATGTCGTCCGCCTTTTCTTCTTGGGTGCTCTTGGGGGATCCAGCCTTGGGGGACCTTGGCGGAGGTGGGGGTGCCTTGACCGTCTGAATGGCATGGAAATCTGCGGCCGCTAATCTGAGAGCAAACAAACGCGCTTGTTCCGTATAAGCTTCACTCAACCGCCTAAGGACGTTGGCAGTATCGATGCCCTTTTCGTTCTTGAGTTGCTGTTGCGCCTCCAGGACGCTGACAATAGCACGTTTGCGAAAAATATTCCTTCTCTTGCTCAGTTCCTCATTGGCAAATCGCTCCAGACCTCGGCAGGCGCTACCCATGCGACACCAATAGTTTAACCGGTCCTGAATATCCCTTTCATTGGATGTCCCGTAGATTTCCGTGAGTAGCCCCGCCAATCCTGTCCGTTGCGCTTCCTTGCAGGCCATGAACCCTAGCCTTTTGATTTCCCGGAGTTCGTCCGGTAGCACGTAGAATTCCTTAAGATCGTCAGCGTCTTCGAAGATGGGGTCAAGGACATGACAAGTGTTTTCCTTTTCGTCTGCAAAACGAACGTGTTTGTTGGATTTGGGCTTGGCTGGTCCGTGTTGATCGGGTACCCCCGGAAAGTCGAACCCCCCACTGAAGCTGCTGTTGTTGTCTCTTCTCCCACCAAAGGTGTGAGCGCGGGCGGTATCAAGCGTCCGAGTACGACAGAGCGGTTGTCGGCTCTTCATGGAGGGCTTGAGTTCCAAAGCATCAAGAGGCGATACCATTATCACAGTCATCGAATCCAAGAGCAACAACCTCGTCTATTACCCAGAAGCTTGCTAGTGGACAGCTAGAAGAGAATGAAAGGAGTAACTTCCCTTCCTTGTGTTGCAGCCTTCCCAATGGCAGTACTTCGTTAATAAACTCGCTGGAGAAGATCCCTGAGGCGGGCCGAGTGCTCTTCCGTCTCTGTCTATGAGAATCGAATCTCTTGCAGCGAAACGAAAGACTTTCGCCGGTGAAGGCAACCCAGAAAATGGCGAATTGGTAGCCTGCACAGCAACTATCCAGCCTCCAGTGGCAGACAATATGAAACCTTTGATTTGGCAACTCAGCCACCACCAAGCAATTGCGGCTGCTGTTAGTAAGTTTGTTGGTTGTTGCAGCCGTTGTTGCTCGCCATAAGCTCTGGACACTGGAGGTTTGGGTGGTAGCTCCGTTGCTCCGCTGTCGGAGTCGTTTGTCCTCACTCTGGTCGCTGTTGCGTGCCCCCATCGTGAGGTCATCTTACGGTCATTCCACGATAACTCCAAATCACCTCAAAGCTCGCAATCCGGCATCTTAATTGGTCAGGGGATAAAGGGTTTGAAAGACAGAGGGTTGGGAGATCTGGCTGCTAAATCCATTTTCACAGAAGAGTACAGTATGTAGACGACCAGACAAGGCAGGGCACTAAGAATATAATGACAATTTTATATATCCAAGACACAACCCAAGCAGCTTACCGGTACACTTTTGCTACCTTAGCTGTGAGGTGGTGGCTGGTTGTTGGCGGTTGGCGGAGCTGTGGTTGGAGTCAATGGCACTTGATTGAGCGTCGACCCCCCAACAGATAGTCTACGAAATGCTACTGTACTAGCTAGTACCAGCAGTAAGGAGTGGCTAGCTGCTGGCTCTAGCTTGATGACAGAAAACCTCTAGGCTACTGGGGCTATTGCAGGATTGCAGATCCCAAATGCATGTTATGTCGTTACTCTGCTTCCTTTCTTTGACTGGCTTGCTTAAATATTTGAGCTCCTGCTTTTGAAAACAAACATAGCAAAGATCTGATAGACGAACCTTTTTGTGCGAAAGTGGCACAGATAGTTTTTGGTTGTGGCCTAGCTACATGGAGTCTTGATGAGAGGTACTGCGGTACGATGCCGCGGGTTGAGGGGAGACAAAAGTCAACACCAGGCCTATAGCCCGCAGCCAACGGCAACGGACTCCATTGTCAACAAGCGTGATCCACAGACGCGATTGCTGGCCATGGGGCTTTTCTCTTTTACCATCTAAGACTCACAGTGCGAGGAAAGATGAGAAGATCAGAGCCTCCCTTGCTCACATGCTCGCAGCTCACAGTACGTACCGGTATGTAAGTGGGGCGGGCTTGTTGGCCTTGACCTCTTCATTCTTCGTGACGCTCGCTCTGGCTGTTGCGTCGAAGAGCCATGGATGTGTTTGACTGCGGTCGCTCGCAGGCTGGTACACCGGTGGCAAAGTTGGTTGGTCGGGAAGTGTCAGCCACATCACAGGTGCATGTACAAACATTGGCCAAGATTATACACTGTGTTCCGCCGGCGATACATCCAGATACCGGCAGATACTGGTGGTAAGCTAGCTGCTCTATCTAGTAGCTAGCTAACCGGCTAGCCAGCACCAGCATCGATCAAATGTTCTGGCGTCTTGCCATCCATGTTCTCTCTGTTGCCTGGAACAAACTGCAGCCATGGTGTGTCGTGGACGGTGGACGTGGTCCAGCAATCCAGCATCGGTATATTCTTCCAAATCAGATTATTTTCCGTAAAAGGTAATAATATGCTTTTTTAGATACCATTTGAACGTTTTGTTGTATTCAAAAACTTAAAATGGGATCGCGTGCAGGCAAAGGGGTCACAAAGACTTCCTCATCCACAAACACACAACAACCAGCATCCAGCAGCCAGCATCCAGCCTCTTCAAGAGTCATCTCAGAGTTGACGGCAAACAGTGCACCATCACACAACAAAGCATCGACACATAGAGTGGATTGCGCTGTTCCAGTGGGTGACTGCTCATTGATCCGTTGTATTGAGGAGAAATGGCGCAGGCTAAATTGAAGAGCTGCCTGAAGCAAAAGGGAGTATCCTCAAAACCCAAACGGGATCTTCAGTGGGCTCAGGAGCTTATGGCTTCTTGGGTGTACCCGGCTCGTGAGGATGACATCTTGTGGATGGATCCCGATGAGTTTTTCGACCTTAAGAAAGCCTCTCGTTTATTTGCCAAGCAATGGCGTTTGAACGGCTTCACTGTTCTGCTGAAGGACACATATGAGCACCCTCGATCGGACGCTCAACGAGTCCTCAACGCCTTTGTACAGTTGGAAGGCAACGACTGTGGCCGTGGCATGGAACGACGAGGGTCTAAGCAGCACGGAGAAGAGCGAACTTACCTCAAAAAGCGAGCAATTCAAGCTGTTCTGCTGCATCAGAGGCGTTTGTTGGTGCGAGGAGCCGACATGGATGAGCTCTGGGAAGAGCTGGGTGATGTTTCCAACGATTACACTCGGACGGCCAAGATATTTGCCCGTCGCATTGCAAAGGCGGATGAAAATGCTGTGCATTTTCCAGATCCGGAGTCTGGATACTCGGTTTTAGAGGAACTACGGGCGCAGAATCAAAACGGGCGGCGTCCAATGATGCCTCCCATGCGGAGAGGTTCAGGTGCGTGCGCTTCCAGAGCAATGTGTCCGAGTTCACCTGCGAGCCCTGCAGAGGAGCTGATCGTAGCGGGAGTGGCTTAGACAGCTACTTTGTTGTTTAGTGCGGCAAACTTCGCTTCGGTTTGATTCAGGGACTTGTGGGTGTTCTTGGACTACGGTGGTTGATGCATGATGATTTGCAATGTGTGAATATAATCAACGCTGATTTACTTGGTTTTTCAATGCTCTATCCTTTTTTGTAGAGAAAGGTGTAAACGTAGCCTGAGTACCTTCAAGACCAGGGGATTTCCAGTGATGGGTCCTGTCGAGAGATAGTTTCAGGGGGTTCCAAGACTTGTGATCATTCTTGCCTTCGTATGCAACACCTCAACCCACCAAGGCAGAGTCATAGCTTTATGAGGCATTCACTATCCCCCACGGCCAACTCTGATCTGGATAGGAAGTGGTCCTTTCCCAGTGCTAAATTAGCGACATGAGGATCATTGAATGTGGCGGCCAACGAGATCAGGTGTCTGTGTAGTATGGTAGGCGATTCGACAAGTGCGCAACGTGGACTTTGACATGACAACCATGTGCCAGGGCACAATTAGGATGGACTTGTGGAAAACGCGATCGAAAACGAGGCTGGACGTACTTTTATACGCAGCAATCGACATTTGCAGGCCAGGAGGAGCCTCTGGCAGTCCAATCTCGGAAGCTCGGGTGGAATAGGTTCAGCTAGCCGCTCGATGGTATTCATTAACGGCTGCCTTTAGCTGGCGACAGACCGGCCATCAATGGAGTTATAGGGATTGTCATGGCAGCGATTACTTCCGTTCAAGGACGTCTGAAGCCACGCTATCGGTAGCCGATATGATTCAAGAAATCAGGAAGATAGAATACAACAACTTGAATGCAGGAGACTCGCTGGATTGGTCGCTGGTCATTCCAGGGTGCCACCCAAACACAACAACTCCGAAGATTGATTATGTGTGAATGGGCAATGCAACCGGCACCTTCGAATAGGCGATAGGAGCGACATCAATAGAGCGGAATAGCTAGTTTATAGAGATCAAATAATTCAGATTCTCATCTTGCTGGGCAGGCAGACGTGCCAGTACGGTGGCTACGAGCCACTGCTTCGTGTTGACTCCGTGTTTCCTGATGAGCTGCTTATTTTCCTCAGCAACTGGAGTATGCTCCCTTGTAAGGCCATAAGCCGACCGCCCTCTACATTTCGCTGCTACGGCACACCGGAACCAGTTTGGTTGAGCCGCCAAGCCGGTGGCTCCGGTTGGGCCAGTGGCTTCGTTGAGGCAGCGTCTGCGAGCTGGTACTGTACCGTACCGTACTGCCGCCTCTCTAGCTAGCTTCTAAAGAAGGAGCTATTGTAGCAGTCCGGGGCTTGCGGCTAGAATAGCTATATGTTGGGGCAGCAACCGAATTATGAAATCTCTTTTTTAAAATAATTGTCACGTTGAGCTAGTCTAGCTAGCTGGCTATCTAGCTAGCTAGATTACGCTTTGCAGAATTTCAGCATGGCGCCCTGTTAAGTTGATTTCTCTCCCTCCCAAAACCACAATGTGTGTTTTGATCCTCATTCTCTTGGATAAAGCGTCTCCACGGTACTATTTACTCCTTGGTCAGCTCCCTTGTAAATACGAGTCTCGTGGGTCCTTCCACGATCAATTTGTCGTCTTGGTCCGTCAAATAAATTTCGTTCATCTTGGGCAAGTTAGCCGTGAGGAATTGCTCCAACTTGAAAATATTTTCGGGTGGCATCATCATTGTGCTCATTACATCCCCAAAGTGGACTGTATCATGACCCCCACTATTGTTGTTGTTGGTGACCTTCATGTCTGCTCTCAGTGAGTTTCCGATGCGAAGACTGATCATGTAGCGTGACTCGCTCTGACTCCGAATCACCATTTCAAAGGCCTTTGTGCTCGACGGAATAGTCACGGCACGGCGTTCTTCTCTTCCGCTCGATCAGCTTGAACATACCATCGTACTTGGCCCCGGAGACCAGAGCAGGAAGCAGGCAGAGTCAACAAGGAGAGGAAACGGAAATGGTGGACGTGTTGGTTGTTGGGTGTTGTTGTGTTGTTGTTGGCTTGGTGTGTCGCGGTTGACACGGGGTTTGTGTTGATGGGTCGGCTCAGTTTTCACGATTGAAAGCGCCTCTAGCCTCTACTAGATTAGCTTACCTTACAGTCAGCACTCACCAAAGTTCCACCCCCAGCATTAAGAAAAAAAAACGGAACTTAGCTGAATTACGGAACTTTAGATCTTTGGAGCCCCATATCGGCCCGTTCGTGGTCTTAGGACCCACTTGGGGTGGTTCCTGTCATATTCTATTGTTATTGGGGGTAAAAGGAACCAATCTTTCATAGGGTGGAACCACATCGCTTCTACATATAGTGTCTCTATTGTTGACTAGTTGTGTTACTACTAGCAAATGCTAGTAAAACGTGCTCTTTAGGCTTTGTCGATTTGTGGAGTACCTGAGGGTGTCTGGCGTGAAAGAGAAAGTTGAGCTAACTTTTCATATGTATAAATGAGATTCCTGGATGGTGGGGTCAGCACAAGACTCTATCTAGTGGATTCAATCTATGATTTTGGGCCCAAAATGGCCAAAAGTGCAGCCAAAAACGGGTTGTTTGGGCTTTGTGGAGTACCTGAGGGTGTCTGGCATGAAAGAGAAAGTTGAGCTAACTTTTCATATGTATAAAGAGATTCCTGATGGTGGGGTCAGCACCAAACTCTATCTAGTGGATTCAATCTACGATTTGGCCCAAAATGGCAAAAGTGCAGTCAAAAAGGCGCTGTTTGGGCTTTGTGGAGTACCTGAGGGTGTCTGGCATGAAAGAGAAAGTTGAGCTAACTTTTCATATGTATAAACGAGATCCTGGATGGTGGGGTCAGCACCAAGACTCTATCTAGTGGATTCAATCTACGATTTGGGCCCAAAATGGCCAAAAGTGCAGTCAAAAACGGGCTGTTTGGGCTTTGTGGAGTACTGAGGGTGTCTGGCATGAAAGAGAAAGTTGAGCTAACTTTTCATATGTATAAATGAGATTCCTGATGGTGGGGTCAGCACCAAGACTCTATCTAGTGGATTCAATCTACGATTTGGGCCCAAAATGGCCAAAAGTGCAGTCAAAAAGGCGCTGTTTGGGCTTTGTGGAGTACCTGAGGTGTCTGGCATGAAAGGGAAAGTTGAACTAACTTTTCATATGTATAAACGAGATTCCTGGATGGTGGGGTCAGCACAGACTCTATCTAGTGGATTCAATCTACGATTTGGGCCCAAAATGGCCAAAAGTGCAGTCAAAAAGGGCTGTTTGGGCTTTGTGGAGTACCTGAGGGTGTCTGGCATGAAAGGAAAGTTAACTAACTTTTCATATGTATAATGAGATTCCTGGATGGTGGGTCAGCACCAAGACTCTATCAAGTGGATCCAATATAGGATTTGGGCCCAAAATGGCCAAAAGTGCAGTGCCCAAAATGGCCAAAAGTGCAGCCAAAAAGGTGCTGTTTGGGCTTTGTATAGCACTCTAAGGTGTCTGGCATGAAAGGGAAAGTTGAACTAACTTCTTATATGTATAGATGAGTTTCCTGGATGGTGGGGTCAACACTCAGACTCTATCAAGTGGATCCAATATAGGATTTGGGCCTTTTGGGTGATATTGGCAAGCAAGCTTACATGTTTATGGCTATGGAGGTAAAGGTGTTTACTAGAGTGCATGGCATGAAAGGGTACCTACCTGAAGTAACTTCTTCTATAAAGAAGAAGAAGAATCACTGTGCAGTAATAAGGTATGTTTAGTATTAGATTATTATTGGCTAATTCTGATTACTCGAATAATACTTAAGATTTCTTAGCAGCTGGCTGAAAAAATGAATGCATTTTGAATCCAACCATTAGATGCTTTAAATTCGCCATCCTCATTAAGACCTAACTTTTCAGCAAAAAAGAGTGCCTTTTCTCGTATAACCAGCCAAGAACTTCCAATTTTATCACGTTTATATAGTGAAGCACGAAGATCAAGCCAGTTAATCACCTTATCCTCAACAGCTGCATATTTAGTAGTAACACGACGCTGAACAGTAGAAGGTTTCAAAGTCCCATCATCATATTGTTTCAAATATTTAGTAAAGCTCTTGCGCTCTGCTTCAGTTCCAGAAAACTTCGGGCCACTTATTTCCAATTGCAAAAACTTTTTCTTACCCATTTTAGTAGACATATTATTAAATGTATGACAAGCATTGTACCAATCAGTTACAGTTTTGCTAGTATTATATGCTTGACCAATTTTAGCACCAACTTTTGATTTAGACAGTGTAGCTGGGCCCTTTGCTGGAGCTGGCTTTGGAGCAGGACCAGGAGCAGCAGCAGGAGCAGCAGCAGGAGCTTCAGCTGATCCAGCTTCAGCTGAGGTTTTTGATTCTTCAGAATTCATGATTGTGAGCATAAAATAGCAAGAAATGATAGCTAGCTTGTGGCTGGCTACAGCTGACCTTGCTTGCAATACCATTTGTGGGATAGATTTTATTTTATTAATTACAAAAAGGTATCCCAAAGTAATCCCAAATAATTCTAAGTAATTTTTAAAGAAAAATGTGACTGTTGTTGCCTCATTTTGAAAAATTCTAACTGCCAGCCCAGCCTCAAACAGCCACAAAACCCATTCACCAGTCAGTCATGTTCAGTCATGAGAACTAGTGACTGAGGGGGGGCAGCCCTGAAAAAGTGGAACTTTGTAGAATAACGGAACTTAAGAAAACGGAACTTAAGTGAGTGCTGACTGTACCGGTAGCTCTAGCTAGAGGAGTGGAGGCCCAAGCCAGCGAATTTGGGAATGCGGGTCATTTTGGGGGCGAAAAGCTTTTTCAACCAAAACTTAAAAACCCTCTCGCCTTCGTCATCATTCTCACAAAATCTCAAAGAGAGGGAGACAATGGCACGGTTGAAAGAGAAAAAGAGAAGGACCAAGGTTGAGCTTGATCAGGAGAGCCCCACCAAGGAAGGAAACATCAGCGTGTCTCCAAAGAGCTTGTGGTTTACATGGGGGTTGTTGATTGGAGCAATTCCCAACTTGTTCATGTCGGGCAACTTCAGATTCTATGGCTCCGATTTCCTTAAGGTTTTGCAGGCTGTAGACATTGGCAGGGGGGTTGCTGCTGGGAACACCACAACAAGCATTCCTCAATGTGAGACAGTCACAGACACTGAAAGATCTGCATCAACAACAGTTACAGCTGATGACTGGATTGGGCCTCTCCTCTTTCCCTTGAACAAAGAGGGCATGTTGGACCTCAACCCATCAACTCCGAACTTGATGATTGATATTGGTGCTCGCAATTCCGATTACCTGAGAATGTTGCATACAGACGAGACAACATCTCTGATTCTGGTGGATCCCCTTCCTGACAATTACATTCCGCTGACCAAGCAAGTGGCAGAGCATGCCATGGCAAACACACCAAAAGGAGGAGAAGGGTGGCTGAACCCCAAAAAGAAACACCAAGCACTCGTTATCCGGGCAGCCATGGGGGAAACTGAAGGGGTTCATGATTTTAACATTGGGTCAGCACCTTCCTGTGGTTCTATTTTGAAAACCGCAAGCAACAACTCCTTTTGGTGTTTTAATACCAAGGACACCATCAAAACAGTCATTCTGCGACTGGAACGCATTTTGAACCTTGTTCCACCTCATATCAAGAACTTTCACCTCAAGGTCGATGCAGAAGGTGCTGACTTGGCTGTTCTCAAGGGAGCTGGTAGTCACATCAAAAAGTTTGGCACAGTGATCATTGAATGCTTCTTTAACAATGTCACACACCACGATGGAGATTGCCGTATAAACGATGCTGTCAGGTATATGGACCAATATGGGTTTGAAGCTCATGTTCTGGGCCAAGGCATATCCCAAGCAAACATCTTGTTTGTGCCTCACAGTGGCGCAATCAATCTTCCACCTCTCTTGAAACAAACAAATTTGCAAATGCGTGATTTGTATCGCAAGGTGCAATGAAGCCTCACAGGGATCAGCTGCTACTGCTGCTGGGATGCAGGAGACAACTAGATGTTTATTGACAAAGTGGCTACAACACTTTTGAACTGTGTGAACGGCGAAAGATCCTACATGTACATTAGAACAACAATACTATGCTACAAGTTGCTTCTGCATCATCTTTGTCACCCTTCCAAGCCGCTTTGTTTCGCGGGATATGCGCTTGGCCGGAATACCTGCGGGTACAGTACCAGGAAAACTTTGCCCTGTACATGTACATAGATCTACATGGCCCGATGCCTCGGTCCACGGATGGGCCGACTCCAGGCCCGACGCTACTGAAGGCTACGTGTTTCTTTTAGCTACTACGAGAGTGGACTGTTTGTAGTCACTGAACAGTTGTTAGTGGGTTCCTTTGCTATGGCGGGGCTCAATGGTTACCAGAAAGGTACACACATTGGTGGTATAAGTGGTAAAGTCATACAGCACGAAACTAATGTATGCAGTGAGCTAGTTCATTGGTATTCACGAAGAAGCATATGGAAGAATAGCTTACCAAATCATACCACCAATCGAAACACCTGCCTCCAATATAAAAGTTTCAATTTTCATAATCGGTGTTGCTGAGCTGGACTCGGAGCTGTTGCAACCAACTCGTGCTCGCTCCACACTTGCACTGGGTTGCTGCTGGCTGAACGAGTTCAAATACTATGCGTCCTGCACGTTCGTCTCCACGTAAATCTGCAAAACGTCGTTCTGGCGTGTAAGATGAGCCTTGGCTCCTTCTACGATGTCCCCAGTTCCAAAGGCTTGAACTGCTTCAAAGCCTGTTTGACCTGCTTTGAAGCTAGAGAATTGCACAAAGTCGTCGTACAGATCCATCGATTCAACGAATTCAGTCGCTTCAAGCAGCTGTGCCATCGAATCGTTTACCGCGGATGCCACCTTGCGAATGCCAATCACGACGGAAGCGTCTTTGTTGTAGAAGCCGGCCGAAGAAAGAGCTCCGTTAGTCTCCAATGCAAGGCCGTCAAGGAGTGCCGGTCCGCTGTAGTCCACGTGCTCGGGAGTGCGATAGATTGATGCAACGAGGATCACGTTGCCGTCGGCATCAGGAATATTTCCGGTTCCATGGATGATGGAGGCTTTCGTGTTCGGGTTCAACGCATCCTCGAGCTTGCATGGCTGTTGTGGGCATGCATCTGGGCTGTTGAAGATTCCCCAGTACAGCGAAACGACCGGAATGGTAGCGCCAGTGTTGTCCAGCTTCATCTCAGCACTGCTCAAATCGATCGTGTCCAGTTTGGTGTCAAGGTTAGCGTCGCCTACTGAAACGATAGTTGGCATGTCCAAACCACCATCCCGGAGCGTTACAGTGTCAACCTGTGGCTTTCCCATGTCTTTGTGTCCTCTCCGTCGTCGGTTGAGGCCAGCCTTCTCTCTTTGTATCCGTTGCTGTTTTCGCTTGTTGTAACCCTGGTGATGTTTGTGATGTTGCGAAGCAACGCCCATTCGGAGAGTAGTAAGAAGTTCCCTTTGTCTTGAATGTCGCCTACTAGTCAGCGATCCACGTGATAAGCCGTGTTCAATAAGAACTAATGGTCCAGAAAATAAAGTACACTAACATATCATGAACCATCTAATCAATGAACTACTTACTTGTTTCCATGTTTGCGGCGGGCTCCTGCTTTCTCAGCCTTGTGGTTCCTGTGGTTCAAAGCCTTCCTTTCGAAATGTTCCTCCTTTCGTCGCGCGTTGACGTGCTTTTTGTTTCTCTGATGGTTCGCACCGGTGGAAACCGCCTTCTTCTTGTTGAGAGTGCCCTTTTTCGCCTGGGCATCCGCCTGAGCCCTGGTTCTCGCGTTGATGAAGCCCGCAGACCCTCCAACGTTTGTGTTTCCGTTTCTCATGGTAACATCAATCGTCCCAATGGCTTGCTTGGTGCGTGCTGCATGCTCTTCTTGGCGCTTTTCAGCGTTCTTCTCCGCTCTCTTCTCCTTTTCGTGCTTTTCAAGTCTCTTGTTGTGATTTCTGCCCCCATTTGAGGTAGCCGTACTCGTGTGTTTAGAATTTGCAGCCGCGTGTTCCTGCTGGCGCTTGATTTGGTTGTGTTCCTCCCTCTTCGTTTCCTCTGTGCGGTGATGTCTTTCAGCAGTTCTCTTGTTGTGATGTCGATTTGCGCCACCGTCGCCACGGGGCTTGTCTCCACCGGCTCTTGATCTCTTGTTATCTAGCTTGGTCTTGAATCTCTTTTCTGATCTCTTCTTATTATCCTTCTGCTTGTGATCTTTCTGCTTGTCTTCCTTCTGCTTTCCCCTGTCGTTTTTCGACCTGTTGTTTCCAGCCGGCTTAACCTCTTTCCCTGGTCGGTACGATCCTTGGTGCTTTGCGTTTTGTTTGGGCTCTTTATTCTTTTGCCTGCCGCCTCTGTTGGATCTTGAGTTATCCTTGGCGCCGACGTATTGTACTTGTTTCTGCTTCTTATCCTTGCCCTGGATGGCATGGCTGAGCTTGTCGGCCACTTTATCCCTCAGGTTGAATGTTTTGTGTCGTTTGTATTCAGTCTTCCCCTGCTGGATAGGGACTGCCTCGTTCTTCTTTGCTGATGTCTTCTTTCCCTTGTCGTCCTTCCGGGTGGTAACAGGAATACGGATGGTTCTAGTCTGCGGAGAGACATTGGCCATGTCCGCAGCCTTGTTACCTCTGCGGTATGTCCTTCGTCGCAAGCGATTGTCTGAGACTCTGGCTCGAGCTTTCTCGTTGTATTTCTTGAGCATTCGTACGTCGTGGGCTTGCTCCTCGTCCTCTTCGAGCCCCAAGGCCCACAAAAGATAGTTTTTTGCAGATACTTCATGCCGGGCAACGAGAAGCAAGAACAGAGCAGACACGAAGAGGATGCTAAGGCGCCTCATGTTGATGCAGTTTTTATTTCAAGTCCTTGGAGGGGCAATCTTTTTGTTTGGTTGAGAGGGAGTGGGCGTTAGCAGCAGAAAAAATATACTATGAGACTTGGTGGTGTCGTCTTTGGGCTCACCTTTGGCTTCTGGGTGATTCATTCAAGAGTTTTCTGCCACTAGAAAACTCGCAGGATCCTGGCTTTTGATTGGATTTGTGTCCTCTGCCTTTCGCAAAGTATACGTTTGCAGCCAAAAAAGCGAGGGCCCAACGTTTCAATTGCGGTGTGGCAGAGTGCTCGGTCTCGGATTTTTCGTCGAGTGGCGTTGGGGAGAATTTCGTACTGCGCGCAGGCCAACTGTGTCTGAGCTTCATTGCAATGGCTTCACACTGACACGAGAAAAACTTGGATGGGTTGCTCCACAAGGGGGCCGACTTTCCTCTTTGGAGAGAATTATGGCTGCGGCGGCTGGCTGCCTGAACAGGCTGTCAACTATGAATGAATCAATTGGATCTTCCCGAGGCAATTGTGGCTCAAGCTGCTAGCTAGCTAGCCAGCTGAAAAAAACTCGTCGTCAAACAGAGGCCCAAGGCACATGGAGGACTGGAACAACGGAATACTGGATTGGATATCATGGAACAAATTGGAAAGCACGGAGTAGTCTACTTTTAAATGGACAAATGATAAAGTGCTGACAAGTGCAACACAAACTCTGGGGTGCGGTTTGACCTCAGTAGATCGTGGCAACAAGCCGGTGGACGACGACAAAAGGGTAGTGTAGAGCTCCTACCACAGCAAAACACATCCCTGATGAACCAAATCATCGTTATTAGCAATTCCACCATTGACTGTCAACTACTCTAGCTAGTACCGGTACTTAGCTAGCTAGCTCGTTGAGTATTATTTTAGAAGGCTACAACTAACTATACCAATCCCTTGTAGAGATTGAATCGTTCCTTGTTGGGTTCTGGATTGTAATACAGATCATTTCCTTTTGTTTTGACATGCCATGCCAGTATTCTGGTACAATTGGCCGCCAACGGTTCCAACTCGGGTACAGTCCGTGCGGCAAACAACATGAGATCATTTTCCAGATATCCCGATTTCGACGCATGGTTAAATCTCATGTCCTTTCCGTTCGCTCGATTGCGTGCCAAATGATGTGTGGCAAAGGCAAATCCGGCCATGTCGACGGCAAATGTGCGAGGGGCTTCCCATGTGGTGAGTAGTTTGTCGACTTTTCCAGTTCGTTCGTCGACGTGACATCGTTCGTAGGCACTGCCCCCGGGCAATCCGGTTCCAAAGACGCTGACATGAGTGGTGTATGCCAATTCGTGGAACAATTGGATGTGATAGGCATTGTCGTCGTCCATAAAGTAAACAACTCCATCTTTTCCAATTTGTTCCACAATATCCAATCCAGCATTTCGTTGTTCCAGTCCTCGATGCGCTTTAGGCCGTCGTTTGACGGCGAGGGGTGTCTGTATGGCCATGTGGGCAAAGGGGACTCCCGTTTCCAGTGCCAATTGTCGCACGCGATGGGTACAACTGGTGGCATCCTCGAGAATGATCCAATAGAGCCGATGATGATATCCCGCTTCTCGTGCCAATCGCAGCGTTTGTCCGACTCGGGTCAAATCGACTACCTGGGTCTGTCGCACATACGTGGGTGTAATGAGATACACAATGCGATTCTCGAGCAGAGCTCTGTTTTCGGGGAGTGACATATCCGTGCCTCGCAAATCGGTACTGTAGGGTTTCAAGGAAGGATCGTCTGGATTGGTACCTGGTCCCAGTGGTGGCTGCACCAGATTGTCAATGGGCGCCATGGCTTGTTGTAATTGTGTGTGAACCTCGGATTGTAGGAGACGATTCCGTAATTGTGGTCGTGTTGTTGTCACTGTCGTCGATTGTGGTCTATTATTATAATTGTTTGCCAGCTGTCGTTGTTGTGTCGTCGGCTCTGGAAATCCTTCACTGCTACTACTGTCCACATGATTATCGACCAGGTGTTGAATCATGCTGTACTGCACAAAGTAGGCCATTCCCATAAAAACCATCATGAACAAAAAGACTGTTTGCTTCATGGTCATGTCGTACATTGCATTCGGACAAGGACGTGAATTGTTGGATCTACGGAGAGAGCAAACAGGGTTCATTTGATACAAAACAGCGCACTATCTTGTTGTGTGTGGTCAATAATGAGTCGGAAGATTCAATTCGGGTGGGAAACACGGTATCAGGTACTGGCTGTGGTCTTCTCTTGTGTGCAAAAGCAACTCTCGGTTTTGTTTGTTGCCACCAAGCAGACTCTTGATCCGACCATGGAAGAGCGGCAATGCATGCAACAGGTGCTCTTTGGGCGCTTGCTTGGTTTGCGTTGGCCAAAAAATACGTGATGGTGCCGACACAAAAGTGCAACTAGCCAAGTCAACCGTCTTCAGTATGCAATACATTATTATTTTATGAAAAGATCCATGTCAAATCGGAGTTCTCATGTTCTCATGCATGCTTGATGACGTGCTCACTTGGAGGACAACATCATACGCGTTGTCACAAAACAATCGAGCCCACTCTCAATCTAGTCTACATAATGTACATAGGATTCTCACAAGTGATGCGAAGCTCCAAAAGGTAGACATCCAACTCACTGCAGCTTTCTCCAAACAGACATCCAGCTTGCCACTAGCTAACAGATAAATCGAGGCCAAACGGGAAGCAGACAGCAATCCAATCATCGAGACATCCATTTTTCTGGAACCCACCATTATCGGTATCGCAAGATAGAGTGAGCGAGATAATCCAAACAGAGTTCTGCACGATGATGCATCGACTAATGCCAGTCATTGGCAGCAAGATCAGTAGACGAGTGGTCCTCCCTTCATTTACCAGCAGAGGAGGGTATCGGTTTCCAAGGCTTACCCAAAGTACTACCATTGGCGTTGGATTTGGAAATTGCAGGTATCGCACTTTTACTGCAGCAGAAGAAATCCACGAGGAGAGCCATGACAACGGCAATTTGAAGCGACAACACCCGATTACAGGACCTGGTACAGGAAGTAGTATCAAGCTGGCGTCATCATCATCCGATACAGTTTTGCCAGCTTTGGAGATTCTTCAAGGAGGCTCTGCTCTCCAGATTTCATTCGATTTGAAGGAACAAGATAACACGACGACACAAACTAATATAAAATCCATATATCATGCTCCCTGGCTTTGGTATGCGGACCCGACCTACATACATCCTTCTTCCGGACAGCGACTACGACGATGGAGTCACTTTCCAGGATGGAAAATTCAAGCTGTGGAACTTGTGCATCATGATCCAACTTCCAAAGCAGCAGCAGCAACAACAACAATTACTGACATTGACAGTACTTCTGCCTCCATTCCTCATCCACCACCTCCTCCTGGATGCATGCACTCTATTGGCACTGTGTATGACGATACCTTTCGTCAGCCACAAGACAAACAACGACAATTCTTGAAGGTTACATGGGACACAACAACATCTGCAACAACAGCAACAACGACCACTGAAACGGGGGATAGTGATAACCCGGTTGTCTCCTACTACGATTGGGAATGGCTACAACGTTGTCGATACGATGACCAGGCACGACAAGAACGGGCTCAGAACACACGCATTACACAGAAACAGGCACTCGGTCGTCATCCAAACTGTGCCAAGATACAAGAAATACCCTATGCCGAACTCTTCCCATCGGATGGTGACTACCGATCGGCCAAACCGGACACACTCTTGAGAGTTTTGCATGCCGTGGCAGAACAGGGAGCTGTCCTCCTCAAGGAATCACCCATTTTAGAATCCTTCCTCCACTATGATCCCAACAGCGCCGCCATTGACCACGACGACGAACAAGGCTGGACGCACAAATCGGCCGTGGCTAAAGTGGGACGCGCCATGTCGGGGGGATCCTTGTCCCACGGGACGCTCTATGGGGATTTGTTCCATGTCCGATCCATGCCCCATGCACTCAATATCGCCTACACATCGGTTCCCTTGAGCCCGCATCAAGATTTGACCTACTTTGAATCCAAACCAGGTATGCAACTATTGCAGTGTGTGCGTCGGGAACAAATTCGAGGTGGTGAATCGGTATTGGTGGATGCCATTGCGGCGGCGGAACACTTGCGACAAGTGGCACCGCCCGAACTGTTCCAGACACTTTGTAGGGCGCATGCCACCTTTGGCAAGCAACGACCGGGTGCAGATATGGTATATCATCGACCTCATATCGTTTTGGGAGGAAGCATGGGACAAGTCGTTGCGGTGCATTGGAGTCCCCCGTTCGAAGGACCACCACTGGAGATTCCACAAGATGCTCTGGAGGATTACTTGATGGCATATGCGGCGTTTGAACGCTTGTTGGACGACCAACTATTCTCGTCGTCATCCAACCAGACTTCGTCGGCATTCTTGCCACCCGACTTGGATGCTATGTTGCATCAATATGCTTGTGACTACACTTGGGAACGTGCCTTGGAACCTGGGGATATTCTTGTATTTAACAATCAACGCATGCTCCATGGTCGTCGTGGCTTTGAACTCCTGGAGGATGCCAACAAGGATGAACATAATGTCATCCATCGACACTTGGCGGGATGCTACACCAATATTGACGACACCATCAACACCTACCGAGTCCTCCTACGACAGCTTCCAAACCGAGAGAATTTAACGGTGCGAGGTTTTGGAAATGGCAGCAGTGGTTCTTTCTAGCTAGAATACAGTCGAGTCGAGTGTGGTCGCCTCCTCGTCACAGGGCAATGCAAACAAAAGTGAAGTGTGAGGACTATCCTCTTGAACCAAGCCATTCCTACTTACCAGACGAAATGTGAGAATTCTTGAAGCCAACATCCTTCGGTACCAATGCCAAACGATTGATTCTCCCCGGGACAAGATTTTGCTTAGATCAACCAAACTAGACTAGCTCAATAAACAAATAGCATTATTAATAGACGATACCAGTAGCAAACGTCTCAACTTGGGACCATCTATTTGTACACGCTCCCAGCCGCAGCATCCGGTGGGAAGCTCACCCTTCCAGCCACACTTATCCATAATATATAATATGGATACGCCCTCGTAACTGATAGATAAAGTCAAAAGTAGCAGATGTCGAGGGATATCTTAGACCAGGCACCATCATGGAATCCCATTCCAACCATGATGAACCCAAGCGATGAAGCATCGAGTTGCCTGGATCCAGGGGTTGATTGGAAGAATCGAACCTCTGGAGTTGTGATTAAGTGACTTCAGGTGTTGTTGATTGATAGGATGGTTTGCAGTACGACATCTGAGTATTCCAACCAACTTTTTGGTATATAAAGTTGGATGGGAAGCTGCATGTTTGATAGCCCAGACAGGGCAAGACCTATTGTCTGGTGAAGATGGAAGTCTAACCCTACCTCTACCGAAGGTGTCTCCCGAAAGATCCAAAACAGCTTGCTTCTTCGCCGAACCGAAGCAGAAGGCACGGAGGCATCACAGAAAAAAGACAGAAGAGAAGTGCTTCCATGGCACATTCCCGACAAAACCATTGCAACAACTTCCAAACCGCTCACCTTACCTGTACCAGTACAGTACGAGCTCTAACTACTAGCTGAAGAACCAAAGCCACCATGACGCCCCGCAGCTCCACCACGAGAAGAATCCACAATGAACTATCCCTGAAGAGACGGGCCCGATGGATCGTCGCGACCTTGCTGATTGCCCACCATTATTCCTATCCAATGACAACACAATTATCATCATCAACGACTTCAGCCTTTGCTTTGGCACTTGGACCGATTCGCGTGTGGCCGGGACGGAATTCCTTTTGCTGGGAAGCCGATGTCGACTGTGAAAGTGGCATTGCGTCTTCCCGAGAAATCATGCATTCATCTCCCAAAAGTTCCATTGCCAAACATTTTCGAGGCAAATCATCTTCCTCCTCGACGTCGTCGCTGGATCCGAGCCGTTTTTCGTCCCACTTGTCTTCTCCATCACCACTTCCCACCACTTCGGCAGGCGTCCAAATGTCCATGTCCAGTTCTTCCTTGCCTTCTCCCGCTTCTTCTGCTGTACACGATGTTTGGACCGATGTCACGAAACGACTCGAAGAGTATCCACAATGGCTGGTACGAGGCGCCGTCACGTGGGGATTGTTCCATGCCGTGCCCATTCCAGGAGGAGGATTTTCACTGCAAGATCGATTCTTGGGCATTAATTTCCTCATTTTTGGTCGACCTCATGCCTCACGATTTTCCTTTCTCAAAACAGTCACTAGCAAACACAATGCACGCCTGCAAACACGAGAAGGAGATGCCACCGTGACACTACCCATTATTGGTGGAGTGCTGGCTCTGAAAAACGGGTACGGCGACAGAGGATGTCTGTGGTTCCGACTGCAACACAATGAAGCACTGCAAGAAACCAAAATGATTACCGAAATTCGGGGATATCATCCCTTTTTGATTGGTGACAAGCTTCCCATTCCGTTCTTCCGAAAAATGATTTATCTATCCACCCAATCTGTCATTCATGCCTATGTCATGTGGCGATTTCAAAGGCACTGTCTACATACACCATACAAACCGACTCCCACGGAGGCTTCGCTCCCCATGGACGGTGGATCCACGGCAGTATCCAGATACACAAATTGAAATTCTTGGAATGAATCCTACTTTTTCATGTATACGACAATTCACATTTTAGATCACTACGGAACTACGGAACTGTAGGTAGCTGCTCATTAGATTTTAATGAATAGGACTGCATAATATGCCTTGACGGGTGGTTTTCCCTAACCAGCTTTTGGATGTACGGTAGGACTGACATCTTTCAAACGGCTTTGTGCGAGAGCTGTGCGAGTTGAATGTTGAAACTGTCACCACTACGCTAGCTACGAAAAGATCCAAACCTGAGCACCAGAGGTACGAGGACCCGTTCCTGGTGCCAAATCTTGGCAAGTACCGGTGCGTACCGTTTTGGTTGTTGAGTCCTCTATTGGCTTGTGGCTAGTTGTCGAAGCAGGGTAGAGACACCACCAGATACCTGCAACTACGTCGCCCAGTGCTGACGGAATGCTCTCTACAAAGCAACACACTAGAATCTCAGTGTATCCTTCATTCATCAAGAAGCTAAATTGTGTTTTAGCCTATCCATGTGCAAAATTATTGAAACAGGCAATCTTGTTGCCAGCCGAGTAGAAACTCTCCCCAAAACGATTCGTTTCGATTCGATCTTTACTCTGTTGCTGCTGGTTCCGCTTCTTCTTTTGGCTCGTCTTCTCCCAACAGGGGTTCCTGCAAGGGATCCACACTCGGCCTGTCGGCACCACTACCATCGAGGTCGCCAAATGGTCCCACAGATTCATTCTGATGGTTGACAGTATGATCTGTTTCCGCAGCACCCGCCGTGATACCCACACCTTTCAAAAGGTTCATGGCACCAAAGTATACGGGTTGGTCGGGATCATCCTGGGGTGGAATCATGTCCTCTCCGTCGCCGCTCGACAAGGCAATGACATCCCCCAAATACCCCTCCTCTGCCTTCATCTGGCGTCGTCTCCTTTTCTTTTCTTGCTTTTCTCGATGTGACACGTGACAATGCACGGTCATGGAGATCAGCAGTGCCACGGTCAAACCATAGCACACGAACGACAAGACCATGTTGGGAATGCCCGTACCGTGATTGGGAGGGTTGTCCGGATGATGATGATGATGATTGTCACAAGTCTGCCTTACGAGAGGGACGCCACCCATGGCTGCGGGAGGATGACAAGGATATCCATCGATGCATCCACGAACAAATGTCATCTTGTTGTTGCTGTTCTTTTCGAGCAAGGTTGTCGTGTTTCCGCTGCCAAAATCCAAATCGAAGGAATATGCCCGATCGGGATCATCTCCATAACAGTACGGGCCACCAATAATATTGTATCCACCGTTGCCTTGAAATTTGGATTGCAACGGTTTCAAGATCCTCGAGACGGCTTCATCCGGAGTTGGAACCGCCATGATTTTGTATTTCAGCCGAAACGTTGGGATTGGATCGTTTGCCGTGTCGTTGTTGTTGTCGTTGTTATGAAAGTCCAGCTCCAAAAGTGGTAAAATGGGCTGCATATTACCGTGATCACAGGTTTCTCGATAAGGACTATAGGGGTCTTCCTTCTCGTGGCCAATGCTATTCGTAAAGTTGGCTTGCACTCGTGTCGTGTACGCCAATGCCGAAGTTCCCAAAAAGTCCTGATACCGATCAGGCTTGGTGTACAAGGTGCTCTGAACGGGGGCCATGTTCTGCAAAAATGGGGGCGTCATGGATTCACTCTGAACGTAGCGCCCGACATATCTGTCCACCAAGTTGTTTGTCTGGTTATTATCATTCGCATCTTGAGCCATGATCAAATTAAACGGCCCCACCCAAGCGCCAGTAGACAGCTCCTTATGCGCCTTTGGCTTGGATGGAGAGTTAATCTTGACTCCAAAATAATAAAACACCGTCACTGCTCAAACAAGAAATAATAAGCCAAAAGGTGTTAGCTACCCATATACTAGTATAAATTATCACATCCGGTATATACCCGATACCCCGTCACCAGCACTTACAATCACTCCAAGACACATCCTTTTCCTTGGCAATATCATGACATTTCTTTGCGATGTTTGTGTGGCCGTAGTCGGTAATTGCCGAGAGCATACAAACTTGGTTGTCGCGTTCTTGGCAGTCGAGTAATTCGCAACCATGGGCCTTTCGTGGATCGGCCAAAAAATGCACTATCATGTACGCTGTCAACGACGACTTGTCATGGCTCGAAACATTAACTTCACTCGTCCAGGTTCCCAGTAAGGAGTCTCCAATGCGGGTGGTATTCTTGGTCGTCATGGTGGTTTTGTATGCTGCTGGCTACTACTCTTTGCTCTCTACTAAATTAGAGCAATCGACAATCAACAATAATCAAGACGGACAAGCGAACGAAAATGTAACGGCAAGAAATGAACGGCAATTTTAACCTTTAACCTTGTCGAAAGAGGTGCGGGAGTTAGTTACAGTAATCCCATCATCTGAGAGGCGCTACTGGATTGGTACGTGAAGTCTCGGCTCGCGTCTACATAACTTTGAGAGGAAAAAGGGGTTCGCATTTATTTATTTGTTCGCGTGGTACGATACGCGCAGAGGGCGATACTCGGATCGATCGTACTGTACACCGTACCTGGGAGGAGCAGGAAAACGCATTACACAGCCACAACACCACTACATCATTGTTACTTGATACTAGTATCTCTTATTCTTTCTACAAGGGTATTCAACAAGCTACCCTTTTTGGTTACATGAGCACTCAACATGTTGCTCCTAGATTGGTTGGTTGTTGTTGTTGTTCACGGTGTGCCTAACACACATCAAAGCCATGGCTGTTGTTGAGTTTGTCTAGTGGTGAGGGGTCAGGTTGTTGTATTCAATATCACCCTTCTTCTTGCCCTTGGCATGCCTCTTCCTCATGACAAAGGATTGAGCTACCCTTTTCTTCCTTTTCTCAGCCAAGTCAACATGGCAGAACAATGCACCAGACTCAAAGCTGGGGAAGGTAACATTCAAAGTAGAGGGATCAACTGGAAATGGGAGGTCCATGGTGAACTCTGAAATGACATCACCCCTGACATCAAGGATGGACCTGACATACTGCTGCATGGCATGGCGCCTCACATTGGTATCCTCTAGGTTTTCCTTTGTGTGTTGTTGATAGAGATAATAGAACTCCCCAATATCCAAGAGGTCTTGGTGCCACTTCTCACTGATAGTCAGCTTCTTGCCATTCGCAGAGACCATGGTTTCGATGTCGGCTTCAGTCGCGCCACTGCTCAGCCAGACAATGATAGTGACATGGCGAATTCCATGCTCATTCTCCCATTCCTTGACCATCCTCTTTGGCTTCCAAGTAGTGGGGCCATCCTCTTCCGCAACATCATCCTCATCATCGTTGTCAGCAATGGAAGGAAGCTGCGCAACTGCAGGAGGCCTGGCTGCCATGATAGGGACTTGGTTGCGAGGAACAAAGCTGGGAAGAATGGGTAGTGGTCCATCATCATCTTGTGGTGGTTGTGGTCCCCTGAGAGCAACACCGGCAGCCATTTCTCTGGCTTTGTTGAACTGAGAGCGAAACTGGTTTGTGGAGTACTTCTGGAATCACTCATGCATGGCTCTCACAGCAGCAGGTGCCTGGTCAGTAATAGCGCCAGTGTGGAACAAGCGAAGTAGAAACTTGAAGTCGGGGCCGTCCTGCTTGAAGATATGCTTCACGGGTTCCCCTTTCTTTGCGAGGCTCTTTCTGGAGGACATGGTGGCTTGCTTGTTGCTTAGCCAATTGCTTTTGCTTTGGATGGTGGTTTCGATTTGTGAGAAGAAGAGAGGAGTGCCATCTTGGGGAAGAAGATCGACATCTTGGTTGGCTGCTACTGGTGGAAGTGTGGTTGTGCAGTTTTGTGCAGTTCGCTCCTGGAAATACAGTGGTACCGGCAAGATCGATCTTGCCATCTTGCCAAGTTACTTTGCTGGGATTAAACTTTCAGACGCATGTGGTTTGCGCGAAGGCTTAGAGGTCATACTGGTTCACATGGTCATTATAACAGTTCGCGATTTTTCTTCTCCTCTCAGCTCATGTGTATCTGTCCTGGCCGCCTCTATCCAACGCTCAATCCAACAATTGCATCAATTGGTTCTCACATTTTCAGTTTCCATTTTGTCAGGGTTTTCTAAGGGTGTGCTATGCCATCACAGAACGCACCCACACTCATATCGCCCTTTCCACACAGCGATATAGATGACTACAAAGACCTAGCCTGTCCAACTTGGATACTCCCTTCTTTTACTAGTAATAGACAGTGCACCTGAGCCTTCTTTGGCTAGGAAGGGGGTCTTCTAGGTTTCTAGATCGCCTCCTGAAACAGGCGATCCAGGGCATCATGACGTTCCATAACGCTGTTTCCACCGGCATTCTAGACTGTTCAACACTAGTGCACTACGCTAAAAGCTAGTGTAAAGATCTTTCGAGTGTTTTGAGTTTGAGAGAATGAAAGTTATGAGAGAGATTAGAAAGCTATGAAAACTAATCAACGAGAGAGATCATCATCAAGGGATCGTAGATCTGGTCTCCCGCGGGAAACTATGAAGTGTGATAGAGTAGGTTGCGGTAGTAATCTTCGTATCTCCACGATCCTAAAACGGAACGCGTGGAAGATTTGTCTAGCATGGATCTAGTAGCGTGGAAGTACTCCACCCTGGCTAAATATCTAGAGCGATGTTTCATCATCAACCTAGTATGACTAGAGCGGTCATTGAGAACCCTGTCTCAAATGACTATTCGCGAGAGACTCAGTCATGAGTCGAACTCAAACCCTATCTAGGATCGAGTCGCGAATAAGGCTAAGAGCCGTGTATTGCATTCGCCCCCTGACAAGGGTCACAGAAGGCGCGCCAGCAGTCGGACAAGGAGAACATATGATTTAAAGTGCGGGGCACTCTCATGAGATTTGGATGCAACCCTACAAGGGGATCAGGCCTTGTATGGGTGTATATACCTTATGTTCAAGTCTGGTAGACTGTGCCGCCATTGGCGGTAGCATGTTGAGCCGTACAGTGCCATTGTCATTGACTCGGTCTATAGTGTAAGGACCTTTGTACTTTGGCTGACCGTACTTGCGGTGCTACTTTTTCAAGGGAAGCCGAAAACCGAAGCGCTTCCCTCTGGATCTGTCACTACAAGAACAACACACTAATAGCAACAAACACAACCAATCGGTCATACCTATACCATTACACACCTATTAGCACCATTAGAAGCATTGAAACGAAGCGAAAGGACTTCAGGAAGCCGTTTTCTGTTATCTTGTTGAAGAGTATGTTTTACTATAGGATTCAACCAACGTCATCACGGAAAACTACACCCTTTTTCCTCTCTTTACAACTATTCAAGCGAAAGGATCGATACCTCCTATCCCTATCAAGCGCACCTCCTCTATCAAGCGACTATCAAGCGGCCTTCTCGGTTCAGATTAGCAAGCCATCCCAATTGAAATCCTACGAGATCGGGCGGTTTTTCTATTCTCGACCGCCGACTCGCCAAGTTGGAAGAAATTGAACACAAGAAGGAAGAAACTGAACACAAAAGAAGTCTCCGGCTTCCCCAGCACAGTGACAGAAAACAATTCCCATACGTATCATTTTGCTTTTCTGCACTACCGCTCCTGACGGCCGACGAAATCCCATTGTCGCATCCTCTTTTTCGAACGATCGATCTTTTCCTCACCAACAACAGGCCGGCTACCTTACCCCTAAGGCACACCGGTGACGTTGATTCGAACCGATTCTCTGAATCGAATCGACCTTCCGAATCGATCCAAGACTTCCGTGAATCGACACGTACCTCTTCCCGCGAAACTCGCGATACCTCTTCCCCGAACGTACCTCTTCCCGCGAACAGTACCTCTTCCCGTACCTCTTCTCCGTACGGATCGAACGACAGCCTCCTACTATCAAGCAGGACTTCACGAGATACCTGCAGTGACCACCGAGAAGAGAATTACACCTGTATTTCTTACTTTCTCACCGGCACTAGTGGTTTCTCCCGACGTCCTTGTTGGAACTGATACTACTGATCAAACCAGTCCTATCCCTATACAGACTGATTGACTGATCAACACCTGCTACTGTTACACCCCTCCATTGATATCTAACTCCTCTCCAAGAGGAACACAAACAACAACAGAGTTCCTGTAAGGACTTGAGTTCTTGATCTTCAGGCTTGGCTGCATTTGATAGTTTCCACGCCCCTCCCTGATATCCAGCTTCTCTCCAAAGATCTCACCCCCACAAGAACCAACACAAGTTGCCCCTCTGTAATAACAGATTGTGCAACACCTTCATTGAAACAGCCACCTCTCTGCCCCTATCTGCCTCTCCAACTGAGCCTCAGGAACTCCAAGGATTGAGCCCCAGACAGAAATGCAGCGTGGTGTGGCATAGATATTAATACATAACTGACTCTATCTCTCTCTCATTGATTGTTTAGTGACTCTCCAGTGACTTTCCACAGTTCCACTGAATCGAGTACCTCTCCACATCTTGGCTTGACTCTCCTGTTGCATGTCTGACCCTACACAGATTGAGTACAGCCTTGAGACAACACAGTGCATCCAGTAACACAGCCCATCAACCAACACACCCCTTGATCCCCCCACACACTGCCTCTACTGGCTATAGCTGACTTCCCAGTTTTCCTGAAAGAATCCCTAACAGCCTTTGGCTTTGATACCATCTCTCCTGAGTAGTGGTATACCTGCACAGACTTGGCACAGCCTTTGATCCAGTGCAACTACAACGCCAACAACTTGATTAAACTTGATACCAGTGCCACAGTGCATTGCCCCTTAACATACACCCTTCTACATCAATCATCTCGCCACCTCACAAGCAACCTCCATTCTTGCGTTGAAGCAACGACACTACAGTCAATACTCCAGGATACAACACACCTCACCACCAACCCCACCTACACCCCCATGACTTCCCCATTTCCTACCCACAACTTCACTCAAACCCTAGGTCCCTCCAGACATCCCCCCACTCCCACACTTCACCAAACAACCACACCACCATCCTCCGCAGACTACCACACACCACTCCCAAGATGATCGCCAACAGCTCTAGAGCATGCAGCCATCTTGAGGATCACACCCTTCCGAATCACACCCTTACCCATCCGGGAGGATGCCTTTTCTTCTCCCCCTTGAAACAGAGGCACGCCTCTATCCTACGACACACCATCAACCATGCTACATCCCAACTCCTACAACAACACTCACAACACCAAACGGATCTCCCCTCCCCCCTGGCACCAGCCCACTTCCAGTGCCCCCTTATCCCTCTCTATTGACTCAACAACCCCTTCGAACAGCCCCAACACACCCAGCGATGTGCCTCCCTCCTTGGGAACCACAGACTGCCCGTGTGTCATTTTACCCCATCTTCTGCCTGCTGTTGGCCTCTATCTAACAATTTTGTGCATTGGATGTGTTACAACCTGCTCTGGTCAGCCTGAGGAGTACACACCCTACGGGCTCTGCTGGAATCTTGCCTTGCATGCCAAGCAGCCCTTGCCACAGCTTGGGACCTGATACCCAGAACACACTTACTGGCGAGCACTCTTTGGTCTGGCAATCTAACTGGTTCCTCACGGTCTCTATGGTGATAATGGTTTCAATTACGCGACAAAAATCCTTTGTAAGCCCCTGTAACCCAGGTTTTTGCGGCTGCAGGTTCCCTATCAATGTGCTCACCCCCCTACCCAGGGCAATCTGTCTACTTGGTGCTGGCTCCACGTTGTGGCAGTGGATGAGGTCAGGTTGATTTGGGCAAATAAGTAGATGACGACTCAGCTAGGTGGGGGTTTCCCAACGCACTTGCCCGCGTCAATAAAGCCACTCCGATGGCCATAGTTTGTTTAATAACGAGTATTTACACCCCGTACCTGCGGTGCTGATACTGTTGAAATCTCACGTATCGTTGACATTTATTGATGAGGGACACGCGTGTCGTTTTCCCTATCGTTTGTTTTGTTGGATTAGTCGCTGGCGATGTTCCTTGATGTACTTCCAGTTGGCTCTCGAACCGGACGTTGTGAATACGCGTCACGATTGACACGAGCTGCTGCGGGCGTTGCCGCGAAGGTGGTATGAATCGTGGCATTATTGCAAAGTGAACCGTCCGGAGACTCCAATCCCAGGATTACATTCACAAGGTTGTCTTTGCACTTGATTTTTGAACAGCATCAAGTTGTGTATGGTCTGATGGGCACGCTCGATCATAGTGAGTTGGCTTTGAGGGTTTCGGTAGTGATGAACTTCCGCCGAGTCCATTATTCATCCCGAGTAGTCTTGTCGACCTCTGCGCGGAAACTCACGTCCTTATCCATGATAACCTCAAGCAGGCCATTGATACCGTAGTAAGCCACGTTTTTTCTGAAGACGAGGCTACTTCGTCTGCTGCTTGGAGCAGATCTCTCCATCTCGAACCATACCGGTCTACGGGATCAATCATTTGCAAGCAATGAAGTGTGCAGGATATTCTTTTTCTAG